AGAAGACCACACTTTTCTCGGGCCATTATCTCTGTAACCATTCAACTTTGGACATAGGTGTTTTGGGTTATATCGGCATACTTTAACATAAGGAACACCCTCCCGAAGTTTGGTCCATTCCTCCTGGGACACCCTGTATATATATATATATATCTGGAAAGGGGTGTTTAAACATGGTAGTAAGGAATTTAAGGGCTTCATTCCCGTCTTTAGTAGAACTATTTTTTACTTGTGGTAGTGGATATATAAAATAATTATTAATGTAACTATACTTTTTTGTATATTATTACATAACTTACCTTCTATTGCTTGCTATTGGATTTTTTTCCGATTTAGTTTTAGTTAAAGTTCTGATGACACTCCAAGTAGTTTTTATTTTATTATCGGAATTTAAAATTAATTTATTATAATAAAGTTGTTTTGCTTTCTTTATAACCTCTGTTAAGATTCTGCAATAATTCTTGTAATATCTTGCTAATTCCAGATCATCCAAATTTCTACTAAATTTCTCTTACGAATGCATGACGTTTTTACGCCTACTGTTAGCCAGGGTTGTTTGGTATGGGTGAATATTAATTTTTTGTAAGGAAAACTGTTAATAAATATTCTTAAGAATGCGTTTAAAAAATTGTTGAACATTATATGTAAAGGTACTGTGAAAAATCAATGAATGCTTCATTTACATCATAATGGCAATTTGACAGTCAATGAAACCTGGACATTCACACACAAAAAAACCCATACAATAAAAAGACCGAAAATGAAACATCACTCTCAAACAGCGCAACCACCTCACTGGTGAAACTGAAAATAAATAAAAACTAAATCATAATCAAAACAATGTTCATGGGCCACTACTTGATATGTCATGATTGTAATAATTAAAATTAATGTGAAACAGGACATTACATGACTAAATGTGATAACACAAAAATATCTAAGTGTATTGTTAAATTATGTTAAACCTTATTGACTTATTGTGTATATTTTATACTATTTTATTAGAATTTTTAAGTATCCAGAAATTTGAATGTTTTAATATGTTTAAAGATATAGTGATGATTCTGTCATGTCAAATGTACTGACTATGTATAGAAGATGCATCGATAATTGTAATAATGTAATACATATACTTATGTGAAACGCAATTTGATAGTTTAAGAAAATTGCCATTAGTGTACATTTGCCCGATGATGGCTTTGTAATAAGCTAAAACATGTAGCAAGTTATGCCATTAAGATCAATAAACTCATCATACACACTTGATGTGAATGAGACGACTGAAAAGACTTGTGTCGTGGTGAATAAAAACGTTTCTTATACATTAACACAACAGGATTCATTCCTTGAAGACTACTAGCGAGTACATCTTGTGGATCTGAACACTGTGCAGTATGACAGATACAGAGTAATTTTGGAGAACATTGTTGCTGTCCAAGATGTAGGAATACTGTTATTGTTTGTGGGGATTTTAATGTGAATTATTTAGAAAACTCTCATAATAAAACTAGACTTGAAGATATTTTTAGCTCCTTCAATCTTAGAAGCGTTATTACCTTCCCTACTAGAACAGGACCAAATTCGTCCCCAATTATTGATAATATATTTATTGATGAACAACATATTACTGACTATGAAGTTCTCTCTATCTCTAATGGATTATCAGATCATGAAGCACAATTACTAATTGCACAATTTCCATTACCTTGTATCAAAAAGAATGAAATTATAGTTAAGAGAAATATAAATGTTTATAATTTGGCAGAATTTACAATGAAACTAAGTTATGAAAAATGGGAACTAGTTTATAACAATAATGACATTAATACTAGCTTTAATCATTTTCTAAATATTTTGTTAAGACATTTTTTATGAGTCGTTCCCAATAACAAGCAGACAAAAATACAAACAGAAACCATGGATTACCACTGGTATACGAATTTCTTGTAGAAACAAAAGAATAATATATCTTGAAGCAAAAAAAAAGTAATAACCCTATAATAGCCACCTATTATAAGAACTACTGTAAAATATTAAACAAAGTGATAAATCTAGCTAAGAAAATGACATATGATAATCAAATTAAATATTCAAAAAATAAAGCTAGAACCACTTGGAGAATAATAAATAGTGAAGTGTTAAAGAAAGGAAATAGAGACATTATTCAAACCTTGGACATTGAAGGTAAAAAGAATACTAATTTGAATGATATTGTTGAAACATTTAATAGGTACTTTAGTGGTATAGCAGATAATACACATAAATACATAAAAGGAAATGGTAAAACTATTAAATCAAAAACTACCAATTATATGACATACTTGACTGATGCATTTGAGAATCCATTGCCTAGCATAAAAATTATAAAAAGTACGAGTAGGGAAATAGAAAGGATTATATGGTCCCTAAAATCTAGCCAAACCCATGGATATGATGACATTTCGAATAATATACTCAAAGCCTGTAAAACCTTTATTAGCGAACCGATAAGTTACTTATGTAACAGAACTATGTGTGACGGTATTTTCCCAGACAGACTAAAATATGCTACAATTATGCCAATATACAAAAAAGGTAATAAAAATCTAGACTCAAATTACAGACATATATCCATATTGACATCTATTAGTAAGATTTTTGAAAAGGTAATGCATAGTAGATTGTTAAAACATTTGAATGATAATAGTATATTAAATAAGTACCAATTTGGATTTAGAGAAAAGCAAGGGACTGAAAATGCAATTTATAGACTTATCTCTGGAATACTAGACTCTTTAAATAAAAAAAAAATGCACGTCTCTGGGATCTTCTGTGACTTAGAAAGGCTTTTGATTGTGTTAGCCATGATATATTATTGGATAAATTGAGGTATTATGGAATAAAAGACAAACAATACTACCTATATAAGTCATATCTATTCGATAGAAAACAGAGAACTGCTATTTCCAATGGGACAAACAGTAATAAAGTATACTCACAACGGGTTAAAGTAACTAATGGTGTCCTGCAAGGGTCGACACTAGGACCACTGTTGTTAAAATATATACAAATGACTTGCCCAAGATTCTAGAAACTAAGAGTATTCCAATTCTATTTGCTGATGATGCCAGTTTCTTAATCTCTCAAGACAATCCAATAAAACTTAAAAACACAATAAATGAAGTATATAGAATATTGAAGGACTGGTTTAAACAAAATTTAATCTCACTGAATTTATTGAAAACATATTATATAAACTTCACTGTAAAACATAATTTAGATAGAGAAATGGGAGGCATAGGAACGATTTTATTAAACACAAATTACATTAAATTTCTTGGCCTGACTATCCAAAATGATATAACTTGGGATAGACATATAGATGAGATAATAAAGAAATTAAACACAGCTTGTTATATGATAAGAAATGTAAAACCAGTGGTGTCTGTAAAAACATTAAAAAGTATTTATTATGCATACTTCCATTCTGTTATGACATATGGAGTAATGTTTTGGGGTAACTCAACACAAGCTGAAAGAGTTTTTAAGATACAAAAGAGAGTTATAAGAATAATAAATGGATGTGGTTTCAGAGAGTCATGCAGAGAACTGTTTAAGAATATGAATATATTCCCTTTAAGAACACAGTATATATACTCTCTTCTGATGTTTGTAGTAAAAAACAAAAAAAAAAAATATTTGATACAAATAGGGATTGCTATGATATAAACACTAGACATAATATGGACATACATATGAGCCAGGTAAATTTGGCAAAATATGGTAATGGGGTAACTCACGTGGCCATAAGGATCTACAATGCACTACCTAATAATATCAAAGTAACTTCTAACGATATAAATAAGTTCAAACACAATTTAAAGGAATTTCTTTATTTAAATTCTTTTTATACACTGACGCTGATCATTCTGAGCCCTTATTTATTTGGATGATTATAGATGAACGTGAAATTTATTTCTAATTAATTCTGGGTAATTTAAATCTCAAAAGTCTTATGTTTCGATATTACTGGAAATGTATCGTGATCTATAATATCGTATTTCATCGTCTGGGACGTGCAATACGGTGTTTACGTTGAAAATTTCTAGATTCTGGCAGAAACAAGAAGTCCGGAGTTATCACATTTACAATCAGTCATAAATTTAGCTCGGGTACAGGGAACCGGACGCGCCTAAAAGGACATGTCAGAGCTTGTTACAATTGCCTGTGAATGAGGGCCAGTATGATTGGGTTGCCTCGTTCAAGCTTCCCACGGAAGATGGGATGAAAATGTATATGTCAACACCATCTTTCGAATTCCCAGCGCGGGGGTGCAAGCCATTCCACAAAAGAGGGAGACTTTCACAATATTCCGAACTGAACGGACGTGACCCTTGCACGCTCCGGGACATAGCTAGCTGATAGTATAACGCTGTAACTTAAAGCTAAGAATACATTAATTTAACAGTGTGGTGAATTAGCAGGTGAATAAACGTTAATTGGCTCAACTCTCAGAAAAACGCTTTCTTAGGCATCGCTACCCTGAGACCCATGCAAACCGACCCAGCTAGTTTCCCGTACCTATACCGATCTTTCTTAGTTTGATCTGTGAGGACAACTTCCAGTAGCCATCATACACTGTCCTAAGGTAGAAACAGGTGTAGCAGGGTAACACCATTCCGACTGCGCCGATACAAGCAAAGGCGGGTTGGAAAAGAGCGGTGTTAACACTTGATGAATATTTTAAGAGATAATGATTTTTACAACTATATAAGTGTATAAGATGTTGAGTAATACAATAAATTAATAATCATCATGAATATGAGATAATCATACTTATAATAGAATGTTTTTATATGTTGGATTTGTTGTATATGTTAAACCTATATGACTAAAATATTATGTTACTTTGACGGAAGCTTTGATCTTAAAATTTTATTTTAAATGACAATTTTAGTGTATTTTACTAGAAAGTAGTTGTATGTGATGTGACAAACATGTCATATACAATAGGTCTTTTTAACAATTGCTTGATAGCACTGACAAGATAAAATAAACTGTTTGGATGATATGGCTTGCCAATATGTGTGGAGTGGCAGGTTGTGGGTTTGACAGTGGTTTTCCTGCCACCTGTGTGTGTTGTCCTGACAGCTTGGGCTGTCTGTGTGAGGCCTGATTATATGTTTTATTGGACTGGGGACGAGTGATGTGTGGTCATCATGAAATTGTAATTTTGTATTTTTATAAATGTAATGTTTTTATATCTTGGATTTGTTATATATGTTTAAGCTATATGACCAAAATATTCTGTTACCTTTGATGGAAACTTTTNATAATAATAATATGTTCCTCCAAAACGCCGGTGGACATACATACATACATAGATACAAAATTTCATAGATCCATTGTCCAGAAACCGGACCGGATATTGAATTCGTCAGTAAAATTACATTGCAACAATACAACAACATATAATTTTTCTAAGACTACATGGCTATGCAACTCAAGAGATAATAGTTTTAACAGATATTAATGAAAAATCTCAAATACAGCATTTCAGCTACTACTGTCATAGTCTACTAGTTGTGACCGTACCTGAGGTACCTGATGGGTGTGGTGCCGTTCTGGGTCCCAAAGAGCACTTAGAACTCGTCTAGATAAGACACAGGATAACAAACTACACTTTTATCACAAACCTAAAACCAATATATGCTTCTTTTAAGCCAAATTCTAATTTCGACTCACCACTTGAACCACTAACATACATTTACAACCTAACACCCTCCGACAACCAAGCACCGCGTAGGGTATTCCCCGGTCCCCGGCGTTCCCCGGTGACACAATAACTTCCCCTCTATGCAGGGCATGCTGGGCTACGGTAGAATGGGTAGAATGATGTCACCGAAGGCCGCGGCATACCTCAAGCGGTTAGTCGCTGGCGGTCGCTGGCTTCCCACCGCGGCGGCCCGGGTTCGATCAAGTGGAATTTGTGGTGGGCAAAGTGGCGGATTTTCTCCGAGTACTTCGGTTTCCACTGCCAATCTTTATTCCACCAAATTCTCCAGCATCATAATCACCACGGGACAGGTACAATAATCATATCAGGGCCCGCCGTACCGAGTAAACCCACCTGTATTACACCGACCAACAACTCAATTGAAAAAAAAATGATGTCACTGAGGAGAAGCATGGCAGTGCTGCCAACCTTGGAAATCCATATTCTGTTTCTGAGAATTTCTAATTCTGTTCTAGCCGCACGTTTATTACGCGTACCAGTACATTGCACACATCTAATGCCACGGACATAGGTCTCAAATTCGTTTTGCCATTTTTAGGGATAATGAACCCTATATTTTTCCACTTGTCTGGGAACACTCTTGCTCTCAAAATATCATTATAAATTTCTAGTAAGATTTCTAAAGCTTCATTTGGCAAATTGCGACGTTTAAGATATTTTGTTACATCCAGCCCTGTGCTCGATTGAAATTTTTAATCGCAAAGGTGGGTTCTTTAATTGTGTACTCTGTGTCTAGGAAGGGGCCCTGATTTTCATAATCAAATTCCAGTGATTCAATCGGGTCATCTACCCCCGAGCACGGCTTTTCGAAAGCCTTTTTGGCGAATTTAACTAGTCCTTCTTGGTATTCGTGTTCCCTTTCTGTCTTATTGTATCTAAATTTTAATCTCTTTATTCTCTCCTAAACGTACGATGAATTCGTGAATTCATCCATTCCCCCAATGAATCCCACACGTCATCTATTGGTCAATGCTACGAATGAGCTAGTCGACAGAATCATGTAGTATAGTTTCCTTCCAAGTTGTCGCTAGAGATCGCTAGTGATCCGTATTCGGACCCAAGCAAGGATTAATGAAGTAGGGAGCTGGTAACGCTCGTAACGTTGCCAATTTTGTATACCGCGATTTTATTATATCAGTGTTTTATATGCAAACATAACAGTTTAATTTGTTTGTAAAATTATTCAGTTATAAATGCTGTGTCACTATAAAAAATGTAAAAATGGTACATGAAAGACTGTTAGCAAAATATTTTCATATAGCAACAGTTGTAGCATGTTATTGGTATGTCTCTTTAAAGTTACCTATTAAGTATAGCAAATCCGTGACAACGCGGTTTGCTTGTGCACGCTGAAAAAAAAAAATACCAGCAGTTATTTGCCGGGTGTGGAAAGTTTTGGTGTGCACCCAGAAATAAATGCAAACAATTGTTTGCCGAATGCGGAAAACCTGAATATACGTTAAGTCCTCGGCCATGACTGAAATACCAATTTAGTTTTCTTAATGTTGACGCAATTTATTCAGCCCCTAACATCGCATGAGCTGTGAAAGCTATCAGGCATTAAAGCCTATTAAGTCTCGAAATGCCTAAAGGCGTATAATGCAAGGTATAGACCGTATGGACTCAGGTACTACTGAAAATTGAAGTCGAATTGTTTGGTATGTTCGTCTGTGTGTTTGGGAATGACCTCCATAACAGGTACAAATAAGAGATACGCGGCCGCCAGAAAGTATCCCCATTTGACCTAAAGGGGAGTAAGTTCGTCCAGTGCGAATTTATTCAATGCAGTGTTACTGAGGAGCTCATACTCCACATTGTATGAGCGTTTACTTTACCCAAAGTGTTGCCTTTTGGGTTTTGGCGTTGTGTAGTCTTGTAGGTGGTTTCCAAAATTTTGGAGAAACTTTCTTCTCCTATCTCCAGGGTCTTTATGGATTGATTTATTTAACATCCATAACTGTTACATTATGTACAATTGGACAAGTCAGTTTTTAAAAAAAATATATGAGATTAAACATCACATCAAATGACTAATAATATAAAAAACATAGAAAAATAACATAATAAGTCCTTTAAATATGATAAAACAGTGGATGAGTATAATAAGGCAACAAAAGCTAAACTATAAATTACATGCAATAGCTAAAATAAATTACCTAAGTATCTTTGTTCTATTATTAAGCTAATTCTTGTAAAAATATTCTTGAAGGGAATAAAAAGCTTTGCACATCAAGTAATCCTTTAATTGACGCTTAAAAACCTTGAACTCTTGAATACTTCTTATTCAAGAGGGCAAGTTATTATACAATCTTATTCCCATGTTAATCACACTCCTTTTACAACGTGAGGTGTTACATGGTTGGACATACAAATTTTGCTTATGTACTGTGTTATAACCGTGCACATCTGAATACGAGATGTTATATATCCTATTTTTCCTTAAAAAGCACAACGTCTCAAAGATATACAATGAAGTTAAGGTTAAAATTTTAAATTCACCAAAAAATTCTCTACACGATATCCTGTTATTGACTCTTTTGATCAGTCTTAAACATTTTTTTTGGATTTTAAATACAGTTTGAATGTCCTTTTGACCCCAGCCCCAAAAAATAATACCATATCTCAATAAAGATTCAAATTTCGCAAAATACACACTTCTCAAAATTGGAAGACTGACCAAATCTCGTAAGGATTTGATAAGATAGATGGTTTTGTTTAATTTTTGAACTAAATGGTGAATGTGAGAGGACCAACTTAAATTCTCTGTAATATATATACCTAAAAATTTTAAATTAGCTGTGTATGTTATTTTCTTATTATTCAAATAAAGTTCCGGTTTATCAATTTGACGGGGACCACGTCCCTGAAAAAAGAGTGCTTTTGTCTTTTCAATATTAATAATAAGATGCTTTACCATGAAGNGAACCGAACCCTGAGGAACACCATACTTTATTTCCTTACACGAAGAGGAGAATGATTTTTGATTTGGAGACTTGGCATCAACATGGTCAATTTCTACAAACTGGGATCTACCCGTAAGATGATCTCATCAAAGAGAGTGAAATTCCTCTAAACCCATAAAGTTCCAATTTAGCCAACAGTAATTTATGGTTTATCACATCAAAAGCCTTGTAAAGATCCAAAAAAATACCCAAAGCAAAAAACTTATTGTCTAATGCTTTCTGAACATCCTCAATAAATGATTGCAGTGCTGTATGAGTTGATTTATTTTGTCTAAAGCCATTTTGGGCATCAGATATCAAATTATGTTTATTTAAGAAATTCACTACTCTGTTATATATTAATGTTTCAAAGATTTTAGAAAATTTAGGGCCAACCCTGAGCTGGAGGTAGCAAGTTTTACTGTAACGGTGATTCCATAGAATTCTGCATGGTGTTAAAAACCACAGCAGCACAATATGAATACTCGTTACCATGAAAATCACACCTCTTATAATATTTTGTTATTCTATACAAAGTATAAAACTGTTATCTTTTGACTTTTTGTATTGGAATGTAGGAACACATTGTGATATTAATTGGCGGGGAATAAGGTAATTACTGATGTTGAGCTGAATAGAATAAGTGAAGTACCAACAAGAATCTTCCCCCCTATTCTGGATAACCACATTTGCATCAGTACCATGTAATGTATGTTGTTGCAGCACTTCACATTTTTACATACTTTTAGTAAGATAACGATTTTTTATTGGTATTATATGGGGTAATCCTCTGAATAAATTGAACAGACAAAGAACTGCTTAACATCCAAAAGAAAGTCGTTAGATTAATTGCAGGCATTAAAAGCATTCTTTCATGGATAATTGATGTACAAATTTAATACTTCTACAACTGGCAAATTCAGATTTAACAATGTAAAGAGAAGACATAAATATGTCCCAGAGATGCCAAATTCTAATCCTGCTAGATTTCAAAAGGACTACTGTACAGGTGTTCAGTAATCTACCAATATTATAAATTTAAACCATGATGTAAAAATGTTGAAGCCAGCATTAAAGGATTATATCTTCATGTCACTTATTCTGTTCTGTTGAAGAATTTGCTTGAAAGTTCCCAAATGCTGAAAAATTTATGAAATTTTCCTGTCACCATGTTTACTTACAGTTTTCCGTCAATAATGCAACTGTTTATTTCTTCGTTCACATTCTCTTTCACTATTAACACAACATGTTTAGGCCCCAAGCAGCCATCCTCATATGTCCCATTATGTCAAACCTGCTATACTGTGCTGAGTATTGTCCATAGCACACACGTAACTGAACATTTCATCAACTGTTGTGCAATAAATATTATATGTTACAGTTCACTCCATTTAAAATCAATTAAAAATCGTTAACATTTTTAATTTGGCATAATACAACACATGAGGATGGCTGCTTAGGGCCAAAACATGTGTTAATAGCAAAAGCACATCTGAATGAAGAAATAAATAGTTGCATTATTTATGGAAAATTAAGCGGCCAACGTAGTCTAGGGGTAATGTTCCCACCTCATGACTCAAGTTATGCGGGTTCATGGAATATTTAATAGCGGAAAAATTCAGGGAACAAGTCCTCTGGGAGGGACTTTAAGCCGTGGGTCCCGTGTCGTAGATTTATGGCACGTAAAAGCAAAATTAGGTGAAAAGTTTCCTGCCCAAGTAGTTTCCAATGCGTCCGGTAGATGGGGAAGTTATCGGGTACCAATGCCAGTAGAGGGCCGACTCACTGGCAGAAAGGGGAGAGTTATTGGGTACCACTGCCAGTAGAGGGCTGACCTTGCTGGCAGAAAGGGGAGATAGTGGGCACCAGTATCGGTGGGGTATGGCGACAGTAGAAATTAAAGGGGGACGTACAATAGACTATTAGTCGCGGTGCATGGGGAAACCCACCCCCTCTATACTGAATAACAGAATATGGAAAATTATATGTAAACAAGGTTGTATAGTAATGCAACAGGATGCTTAAATATAAGATATTCCTGTCACATAATCACTCCACTTTGTATGATGCAGTAACAACTTTGTTGTGTAAAATAACGGATAAAGTTGTCTCTGTGCTTGCTTAATGAAATATCATACCGTGAAGACATGAGGGAGTGGAGGTATAGCTTCGTCATTCTTAACCTTAGCACTAGATGGAGCTGATCAGTCAGCTTCATGACCCTGTTGCTTTGCTCCCAAGGATACTGCCACCATTGCCCATTGTATAGGAGTTTTAGTGGGTCCCAGAGCCAGTCTGGATATTACAGAGAAGAAAATCTCTTATCCATACCTGGAATCAATTCCTGTCTCCTTGGCCATCCAGCCTATAGTCTAGTCACTATACTGATTGAACTATCCTGGCTCATCCTTATAAAATAAGACATCAGAACTCTTAACTACCAATTATGTATTTATATTTGTATCAAGTATATATGTGCATGGTGTGTCTTGGCCTATTCCCATGAAGGATTTTAGGATTGTAAATAAATTCTAATCCAAGCTTGATGGTGTGGGAAATGTAGTTGGGCTGTATTTAAAGTGTGAATTCAGGTAGTTATTTCTTCAGCTTCTCCAAAACTAAGTAAACTGCAGTTTTATTTATACTTTATTTAACAGTTCCATCAGTCATTCAGATCATGCAGTGTTGAATGATTTGATGACAGTGAATTGGAAAGGGCATACACAGAAACAATCATGGCCTAAGCTAAGGTCTGTATTTTACTGGAGGGACTGAGGAAAAATACACTTACCCCAGACATGATCATCAGTGTCATGGCTGAGACTCAAGCCAGACACCTCTGATCACATTCACAAGAGTTACTGCTGGAATCACCTTCCTCAATGCACTTTTCTAATATGCTTCTATACATTAATTTGGTTGTGTTATAAGTAGACATAGCCATTAGTATATTTCCTAGTTTTAGTAATGTTTAAATCACTGTTGAAAAATTGGAAAGGCATAGTCACCAAGTATTGATAAAATTTGGCAGTAGGAAAGAGGTTATGCTTCTAGATGAATAGACTTTTATTTTATGTTTGAAATAAGGAACAAATACTACAGCAGTGGAAGTTGGTAATAAGGATATGGAACAAAATTTAGTATGTCTTTAGTTTAAAAAATGTAATGTATATGTCAGCTACACACTTCATTAGTAAATGATCTTGAAAGAAGAAAAATATTTTTGCACTTTACTTACTTGTGGTTGTTTTCTACAGGGTCATATCCATATTGACAGTGTTTGTAAACAAGGCACTTCTGAGCAGTCAGACTGTCAGCCTTGATGCCCCTTTGTTTGTGACTTGGTACCAGTGTGTCGTGTCAGCAACAATATGTTTTATACTAAGTATGCTGACAAAGTTATTTCCTCATACTTTCACATTTCCAGAGGGTTCACCTTTCAGATGCAGTGTTGCAGTGAAGGTTAGTAGTAGTATATATTCAATGTAAATTTGCTGTCATTATGTGGTAAGTCTGCTGAGATGTATATGTACATATTGTAATTTCAGGTGCTTCCTCTGTCAGTCCTGTTCACAGGAACCATAGCATTCAACAACTTATCCCTCAAGTATGTAGATGTTGCCTTCTACTATATAGGACGCTCCTTAACAACAGTTTTTAATGTTATGTTAACATATTTGATATTAGGTGAGTCAATCCTATGAACTACCCACAGTAATGGCATATTAGATGTGGCTTTATGGAAAAAATAATTTGTATTTTGATACATTACAGTATCGACCTGATTTTCTTTAGTTCATTGATTTTATACAATTTATATTGTTATTAAATTATTTTATTATGAGCCAGGCATTAATTTCTTAAATTGGTAGCATCATGTAACATGTCTGACAGAGATTACTTCAGATGTTGCAACCTCTAAATGTCTTAGCTGTCTGACATTCATTATATCGTGAGTCTGCAGTAGAAGATGGGGGCATTTTATTTTATTTTAGAATGCTATATAATAAAAGTTTTTATTGTATTTTATTAAATGTTTTGAGTAAAGGCTATAGAACTGTATAAGGTACCTGTCATGTTACGTATTTTTTGTAATATGTGGTTTGTGAGATCTTCATGAAAGTATTTGAGCTGTAAACACCAAATCCACTACTTCTTTCATCCTTCATTTGAAAGACAGGAATTTGTTTTATTATTAAATATGTGCTGTAACCCAATTCAGTACACACTTTGATAACTAAAAATGACTGAACAAATCATATTATGAAATGTTTTTGTTTCAGAGCAGTACTTAACGTTTTAATTTTTATAGCTGGTTTGCAGAAAGTAAGTTACATTTTCAAGTTTGAGAGTATTTCAGCAACATCTGTTCAACACTGGTTTTGTACAAAGTATGGAAAGATTGTCATGAAGGAACTAATTTACAGATAATACAAATTATTTAACTTGTTATGTTTCTGATAAGAAAAGGATGAGCAGACATTCAAATGAATAAAATGTTGAGAAACTCCACATAGCATTTTAGCATTTCCAGGGGATTAGGTGAGCAGACAGAATGATGTTACTGAAATTAAAGTAGGGAGAGTTCTAAATAATAAACAAAGATTTGACCACACAACTGTTACAAACATTTAAGGCAACAAAGAAGCCCTTGGCTATAATGGTTTTGCTAAATACTGTTTGACTATTCGATCAGCATTTCTTGTCAATTTTTTTTCAGTAACAGGCAACATTTCATTTACCTGGCAAGATAATTGCAATAACATAAGAATTTTGGGCTAAAAAAGACTGAAGGCATGTTGAATGTGTGTCACAGCCCAAAGCTTGCCTCCTTGTGCTGTGTGATGCAGATTCAGGGTACATTCAACTTTGCCAAGGATACCACAGTTTTTTACAGTTATCTCAACATATCACAGTACTTCTTAGTTTGACATAGATGGTGCCTTGTCCAGGACATGGCACTGGAATGAAACTTTTCTTGACAAATTAATTTTGTTGTGGTTTTCCCATTCTTTTGGCATTCAGATCACTGATTTTATGACACTTGAATTTGCCTTAGGCATTCATAAAAGAGCAAAGTACACATACCACTGCACTCAGCCAGAATACTGTTAACAGTGAAGTGACTGACTATGAGCTGGACAAGAGTCCACTTCTTGGCTGCTGTCAGGAATTTTTTTATCACCAACATGTCCAGATCAACTTAGGGACTCATTCTGCCTCTTATCCAGTGGGTACAGTGAGGGGGAGCTTCTTCCATAGGGGTGGGACTGTCCATTAATTTCCAGTTTCTGTTAAGATAGAGAATGTGTGGAGCTTCATCTCCACTCCTGGTAAACGTCTCATGCCATGGTGCTTAGGCACAGGGGCAACTGTTGAATGAATGTACAAGGGGTGGGCCCTCTTCGCCTTTGCACTGCGACCACAGTGATCTATTGTGATTCCCCTTTTGATTATCCCCTCAGTAATCCTGCCCTTCGAAATGAATCACATGATTTTGTACGTGGGGACGTCAAAATAGTCGCTTGGTTCCATAAAATGTTGACCCAAGTGACGTAATCTTAAATAAGCAAAGGCCTCACATTCACACAGGATATGTGTGGCTGTTTCATTTTCTTCTTGACACCTCTCACAAGTTGGACTATTACTTAGTCCCAGTTTGAAGAGGTGTCATTTAAGGTGACATTGTCCTGTAAGTAGTCCTACCACCCATCATAACTGGTTCCTGTTTAACTTCAACAGTTCCTTCGTTCTTTTAGTAGAGGGTCCTAGTATGAATCCCTTTGCTTCCTGAGTCCAGTCAAGGATCCCCAGTATTTCTTGTGATTCATATTTGTCCAGTCCCTGATTGCCTTTGTGGCAACTCCAATAGAGATGCCACAGGCTGGTTCAGGTCCTATGAATGGATGTTCAGTTCCAATCTTGACCAGTTGATCTGCTGTTTCATTTCCAGCAATACCCTCATGCCCTTGCACCCATATCAGTTGTACCCTGTTATATTTGGCCAGTTCCATGAGGGTTTGGTGGCAGTCCCAGACCAATTTTGAGTTGATCTGGTGTATGTCAAGCACTTTAAGTTACTGATCAGGTTTCCTATTTTATTGGTCCCTAGTGTCAAGTCGATAACCTCCTGCCTATTGCAAACCACAAAGGTAGGCTCGTTACATTGGTTTAGAATATTAAGGTTCAAACTCACCAAATATTCCATGTGACATTCTCCTCTTGGGTTGATGTCAGTGCTCCCCCACAATGTGTGGTGTGCATTGGCGTCACACCCAATGATGAGCTGCTTTTTCCTAAGATGGCAGTATTCAACGATGTCCCTCACTTCTTTGGAAGATGGTGGTTCATCCGAGTCATATGGAAGGTAGGCTGAAGTGACGGTGAGCTCCTCACAGGCTCAGTCCAGTGTGTATGTCATCCTCACTGTTGTTGTATCTCTGGAACAGAACTCCAGCAATGGTAAAGCATTAATATGATTATTACTATATATTGTGACATGTTGCGCAATGGAGGACAACCCCTCCCTCCCCCAGGAGTGACATGTCAGCTCTGGCCATGGTGACGTAGCCCCCCTCCCAGGCTACGTGGCACCGCTTCCTCCTGTGACGAGACACGCAATGCAGCTGTGACACAGCATCAGGCAACGGCGGTACCGATTACGTAACAGGCAAACACTGCGACTATATAAGGGAACTACACAGCCGCCGAAGCCAGTTAAAAGTGTAGCAGCCTACAAAGTGAGTTCTCAAGGCAGCAGTCTATGAAGACAGTTGGAAGTGAGTCAGCAGTCAGTCAGTGTGTGATCAGGAGTGACACAGTTGGAGTATAGCAGCAGTCGCGGAAAGAAGAACCGGACGTGTGTGTAATCGTGTAATTGGGAGTGTGTGATACAGGGACACTTACATAGCTCCCGTACTGTGAATACGTGTAGACTACTGAAGATAGAGTGAACAGATTATTGCGAATAGGGTTATAAAGTGTGAAACCCCGCAACAGTGTGAACAGATTGTTGCGAATAGGATTATAAAGTGTGAAACCCAGCAACAGTGTGAAGAGATTATTGCGAATAGGGTTATAAAGTGTGAAACCCCGCAACAGTGTTATAATCAATTGTAGTTACGACTTGTAGGTTGTTAAATAAACCAATTAACAATCTGAATGCCGTCTTCAGTAACGAAACACGTTACAATATATATGATCTCACATTTTCTTCAGGTACCACAGAGTAGACTGTTCCCCCTGAATTTGTTAAGCCTCTTATTTGGCCCCTAAATATCCAAGGTTCCTGAATAAGTACTACGTCTACTTTTCCTTCAGCAAGTTGTTGACATAAAATTGCTGTAGCAGCCTTGCTGTGGTTTAGGCTAATTTGAATGAATCGTATTTTGTGTGTATGTATGTATGTTGTGTGTTCATTCTGTAATGCTGGGAAAGGTGTCCTCCTAAATACCTTCTTCCACAGCCCCTTTCCCTTTATCAGACCTGGTTTCCTCTGAGGGAGGTCCCTGATCTGGTAAGGTCAGGTTGACGAGAGGACGGATTGTCTCCTCATTGGATGTTCTCTTCCAGTCAACTGAGGCAGTGGGTACATCATCCCCCTCCCCCTCAGAGGCTGAGTTGGATGATACTGTATCTGACACAGGTTCTGCCCGGCGCGGAACCCCAGGATCATTCAGCACCTTAACAGTCCCCTGTGAGAGTCCTGGTCTATGAATAAGATGAGCCTCTGGCCTTTCAAATCAGATTGCTTATCTAGTACCCTCCAGTTCTCAGTATGAAGTCCTGGACTGAGGTCTGCAATCCAATTCACCAGCTCTTCCTGATTCTGGGCAACTTTGTCCCTAGTCCGGAGAGCCACTTTAACAGGCTTGGGCAGGTTCCTGGCATCAGTAGCCTTCCGCCTGGCCCCTGATTCTAGCCTGTGGTTGTCAATGACTTTGGTGAACCATTGACCAGATTGTTGGTCGGTGCATGCATAAATAACTGCACCTCCCACTAGTCTGTAGGATTTCAGGTGTGGTAGTTCTCCCTTTTGAGTCCTACATAACACCTTCCCCTGTGCTTCCAGAATGGAATTCTGGTCTTCTTCGGGAAGCTTATCCTCAGGATAAGTTTCCTTGAAGATAGCTACCTTTATATTGGTCAGAGCCTCCTTGTAAGTCCCTGGTCCCTTAGAGTCCCTGTGCCTTTTTGGAGTTCTGGCCATTTCTGTAGGGGTACTGCCCTCCGACCTTGGCCTCTTGAGGGTGCCAGTGGGGGTTTCTCCATGCTTGGACAAGTCTGCATTTCCTGGTTGCTGACCGCCCCCAGTTCCTGCTTTGCTGGCCCCAGCTTTTGCCTTTTTCAACTTCCATCTAGTGCATCCAGACAAGGCTTTTTTTGCTAGACTGAGTCCTCCTCCTCCTACTGCAAGTGTGCTAGAGGTACTAGCTCCCTGCAGTGGTATGTCAGTACTACTGACTCCAAAGAGAGTTTTTGGTTTTATCTCAAGTAGGTTTCAAACTACTGGTTCGTCCCTGCCTTTAGCTGAAAGTTCAACAACAGGTTCTTTGGAAGTCAGAGATGGATTATTTCTCAAAGGAGTATGTAATGGGATGAGAAATCATAGTAAATGGAATTAATGTCACAATAATTTAAAGTAAGATTAGTATGTTTGTATTAAAGCGGCCTCTGTAGTCTAGGGGTAACGTTCCACCTCATGACTCAAGTTACATGGGTTCAAACCCGGCGGAGGTCATGGAATTTTTAAGGGCGGAAAAATTCAGGGAACAAGTCCTCCGGGAGGGACTTTAAGCCGTGGGTCCCATGTCGTAGATTTACGGCACGTAAAAGATCCTCGTGTTTCTAGGAGACCTCTGAGCAAAAATAGGCAAAAAGTTTCCCGCCCAAGTAGTTTCCAATGCCTCTGGTAGATGGGGAAAGTTATCGGGTACCAATGCCAGTAGAGGACCAAAACCTCGCTAGCAGAAATGGGAGGGTTATCGGGTACCACTGCCAGTAGAGGGCCGACCTCGCTGGCAGAAAGGGTAGATAGCGGGCACCAGTATCGGTAGAGTATGGCAACAGGTGAAATTAAAGGGGGATGTACAATAGACTATTAGTCACGGTGCATAGGGAAACCCACCCCCTCTATACTGAATAACTGAATGTTTGTATTAAGAAGACAATAATTGTTAACAGCAGATCACCCTTGTGCTTCAGACTGCACCACAACATAAATAATCTTAAGAATTTCACTTTCCACCAGTATGTAACACATTTAGTCTAGTTTTTCAAAGTACCCTGGGCAGGATAATATTATAAATTATAAAATACTTCATTAATTTCCAGTGGCTGATTCCTGAAGCCAGCTGGGATGTGAGTTGCTTCTTTCACTCCTCTAAATCAGGTGTCTTAAACCAGTAGAGACTAGATGTTTAATGGCAGCTTTTGTGTAATTATAATCAGTTTGGCTCTATGTAGGATTTGAGGTTCTCATAGCAGTGGTGAAGAGTTCTATCTTCTGGGATATAATACTACGTAGTCTGGTGAAAATCACCTTTTCAGAGGAATATATCACTGCCATCTTCATGGTTGAAAAGTAAGCCAAGTAAGAAACAAGCATAAAGACTGTAAGCAGAGCTCTGCATGATTCTGCCTCTTAAATTGACCAATATTCATAAATCCTATGGGCGTTATAAACCCATCAACCACCAAATATTAATTTAAGCTGTAGCAAATTCCGTAAATACTAACATAATTTTTCACATGGCCATTTAAACATGCACAGACAGCTGACATAGCAACAGGGAACTTGCATACATCCATTATTTAAATTTAAAACAGTTATGACCAAGGTATTGTACAAGTTATAACACCACGCTCCTGTTAGCTAATAGAAGTTAAATTATTGAATGCCATAATTCTCATATCATTCTTTGAACCCTAGACACAGACAAGTGTGATCTCCAAGTACAACTTGGACAGGGAAAATATTTTGAACCCCTCTGTATTTCACCTCCTCCTGCCTGAAGACTAATTATATTAATTACTGTAAACAGAAGAATATTAAAAGCATTACTAAACGTGTTGCAATAAATATACGAGTAGTATTTCTTAAGGTTAACATCTTTTTCATGATATTATGATGTGATGGTTGAAAGCCGGAATAGTGGTACCAGAACCAGACTTCCATTGCTCAGCAACGTTCCCATTCCTGTTACAACATACAGCAGCGAATGTGTTGTCACAAAGTAGTAAGTCATAAACACTCAGAAACAAAATGATTCCTTGGAAATGAATACATGGTTTTCTGAGGCAACACATTGATGAAACACAGGAGCAGAACCCTTGGAGTCAGTGATCTATATTCAGTATGCCTGAAGTTAGCTCAGTCTCAGAGTCAGACAGCCAGACAGAGTTTGAGAGAGTAGAGACTCTTCGACAGACATCATTCAAGGCAGTTCAGTAGTTAAGTGTTACCAAGCAATGACTAAGCAAGCAGACGTTGAAGAATTTATTTTGTGTGTTATACTTGCAGTAATCCTCAGAGCGTTATAATTACTTGTACTTACGACCTGTGAGTATCCAGTAGATTCACCAATTCAAAGCCCATCTACAAGTAACTAATACACATGAAAATATATTCATATAATGTTATGAGTCTGCTGTTGATACACGCATGTAACAACAAATTTAGGAATACTGTAGGAGAAAAAGTTTTCAGATTCTTTAAGAAGGTTGAAAGAAAATTAGGTATTTCATCCATATAAACTAATGAGAAATGCATACATATGTATGATTCATTATCTTCCCACTTTTAGGCTGAAGCAAGCTTCATCCTTCTCTGGCAGCATCTTCTTCTTGGCTGTTCTTCTGAATGGTCTTCATTCTTTTAGTAGAACCTACATTTCTCTCTACATCTGGATAATGTATGTGAGATTCAAAGTTGTGTAATAGCTACAGCAATGGTGAACTGGGACATGTACCTTATTTAAATGTACAAAAGGTAGGGATTTACTATAGCGGTTGTAATACAGCATTGCTGTTGGCTGATAGAGTTTGCTCAAATTATGGAACATCAAGTTTTGAACTTAAGACAGAAATAGGTATATTACACTATCAAAATTTGTTTGTTACCAAATAATATACCAAATGAAGAACTAATTACCATGTCATAATTATTTATAAAAAAAAAATAAAGGTATCTATGTAACGCCGTGGAGACTCATAGCGTTGTGAGATGTTGAGGTTCCCACATTTTCTAGACAGTCAGGTCATAGATGGCTGTAAGTTTGTCAGCCTTACGTGCTGGCCACCCTTTACCCCCAAGAATATCCCGGGTACTCATTTCTGTTAGAGGCTGAGTCGACCCCAGGGCCATAGTGTGGCTGGAAGGACTAGGGAAATTGAAAAAAATCCAATGACTTCATCAGGATTCGATCCCGCAACCTTCCGGCTTGTAGCATAGTGCCTCAACCATCTCTGTCTCTGCATGCCCCTTATAATTATTTATTACTATTATAAATATATCAACAGAGTAGAAGGTGTGAGTCAAGAGGAATTCTTTAAGTACTGCTTTAAATTTCCTGTTAGTAGATAAACATTTAATTTTGAGCATAATTTATTGTATAATTTTATCTCAGCATAATGGACCCCTTTTTGAGACTAGATGAATTAAATCATGAACATCAGGCTTTGGTCTTTCTGTCTCATACTGACTGCATGAACCTTTGAATTTGAAACGTGTTTGCATTGTAAATTATATTATTAAACTGGTAATACTCACTGCCTTGTCTAAGTACAATATGTAGAATGTGAATGTGTATATGCACATGGACAATGCGCACACAGACAATTACCTGTTTATCAGGCAGGTAAAATATTAAGGTCTGTTGTTTTTAGAGCATATCTGGTTTTTAGGAATATTGTGTTTTAGGTATTGTATAATATGTTGCTGAATTTGTCCACATCCTGAACATTAAGATGCATGGAGTGTATTTACCTTCCTGCCAATATAACATTGCATTTTTCAGTTACAATAAGTTATCAAAGCTGTATTTGAATATTTGTTTCATTCTTCATAATAAAACCTTTTTGACATTTTTCTACTTGATGAAATCTCCAACAAAAGTCGCAGAACTCCTAATACTTGCATGTTTTAACCACTGTGCCTATTTACAGGCACTTTAAATGTAATAAATAAGTGAAACTGGAAAAAAATGAAGCAAACATGTTCATGTCTTTCAAAGGAGAAAGTTCTCCAGTCACTGATTGCGAACTATTCCTATTTGACTCCTTGGCCCCTTTCAGCTAACAGCCACTCTGGGTCTTGTTTAATTTAATTCAACAAGTATCATTTGTAGGCCAGAAGACTTCGATCCGGACAGTAACATGCTGTGCTGTTATTGTTGGAGGATTTTGGCTTGGTGTTGACCAAGAAAATGTGGCAGGTAATGAGTATGTCACTTCACTTCATTATTTAATCATTTCATATTGTATTATCAGGACCTTTAAATGAAGGATGTATAATGGGCTGAGCATCTAGCATGTCTTGGGTAGCTAAACACAGAAATCCACAAATGAAAGAAAATGTTAATTGGAAAATAAAGGGCACAGATTGTTTATGACTGACCTAAGAATATAATGAAAACATTTTCACATTATTCAACTTGAATCTCTTTACTCACTTTTTCATGTCCTGGAATTAATATACTTTGCATTATGCATTAAATTGTTACTCTTATGAAATTATCTATGATTATGTTGTACAAGTGTCTCATGGTTTATTCATTTTCAGGTTCTTTGTCCATAGCAGGCACAGTTTTTGGAGTCCTGGGTTCACTGGCTCTCTCCATGTATTCCATCTATACGAAACGCATACTTCCACATGTTAACCAACAAATCTGGTTATTGTCCTACTACAATAATGTATATAGCTGCTTCCTGTTTCTACCTCTGATTGTCCTTAATAAGGAATTACCTGTGATACTTCACTTTGAAAATCTGGCAGATGCCAAGTTCTGGCTGCTTATGACTGGAGGGGGTTTATGTGGCTTTACCATTGGCTTTGTCACTGCTCTACAGATTCAGGTACAGTTTCACAATTTGAAATGGTTTGCTTTGTTCAGGTTTACAGACTGTCATTTGTTTCAACTCTTGTAGTCTATATTAGTTGTGTGATTTCTTATATTGCTATGATGAATATAATGATTTTTTATTCTTAATTTATACATTTTAAATTCCAGCATCAGACATATGAGAAAATATTGTGCAGAAATTAGAGAATAAAATGTGATATGGGCATGTAGAATGAATTGTAGGTCATAGCTGACCAAAACACAAATTCCCTGAATGCCAAGAGATATATATGAATGTGGGCAGTTAAGACTGTAATGACTATAACGAATTTATAAAGTGACAGAAGGAATGATGGCAGGATACTAAAATACAGATTATGATGGGGAAGCAAATAGGAGGGCTATTCAGAAAGTAACCTCCAGTGAGCTGTTAACAAAACAAAACAGTGAGGAGAAAAAAGTAATTATATACAAAAATATATGAACATACTTAAGCTATGTAAGTTTTGAGGTTTCCACGGCAACGACTATGAAGAAAGTCGTCTTCTGGGTTTTGGCACCGTGTATTCTTCGTTTTGGCCGACATTCCTCCGAAACGTCGGCCAAAACGAAGAATACATGGCGCCAAAACCCAGAAGACGACTTTCTTCATACTTAAGCTACTTCTCGATGCAGTCGCCACAGGATTGAGGCACTTGTCATATCAGGAAATAAGTTTTTGTGTGCCTGCATCAAAGAAGTCCTCCACCTATGATCCCAACCACTTGGAGCGAGATCAGGGCTTAAGGGAGGGTGGTCAAACAATTCCCAGTTAAAATGGTCCAGCAATGCTCAAGGGCAAGCAGTTGTATGCTGACACACATTATCATGGGGGAGCACTACACCAGATGTCAGCATTCCATGCATTTTGTTCTGAATGGTCAGCCGTATGTAGGTTTTTTCTTGTGTTTTTTACAGTACACTTTGATGTTACTGTGGTCCTGTGTTGCATGAATTCCACCATCAGCATTCCTTTCATGTCTCAGGAAACAGTTGCCATCAGCTTTCTGGCAGGCAGATGTCTGTTTAAACTTTTTGGGCTTGTCTGGTGAATGTGTGTGCATCCACTGCTTTGATTTCTCTTGGGTTTCAGCATTCTCAAGTTTCCTCACCTGTTACTCATACGATGTGATTGAGAACGTCATTGGCACCTATGTGGCATCGCTCTAAAAAGTCAAACCTGAAGCCATTCTCTGCATTTTTTGCACACCCATGAGAATTTTTGGAACCCATCTTGTGTAAAACTTATGAAGGGATAGCCTGACTGTGATAATCTTGTACAGAAGAGTGCGTGAAATTTGTGGAAATTCACACTAAAGTTCTGAAATCATGAAGCTCTGTCTTTCACAAATTTTTTGAGGAACACTTTGAACAAGATCATCACTCACTACAGATGGCCAGCCAACTGTTTCACTCTTCATCATGAACATTTGTCCACCTGCCCATCTTTGAACATTCTACACCAGTGTTTCTCAGCCACCAGACTGTGACTTAATACTGGGCTTTCCATCTTATAGAAAAAAGGATTTACCGGGCTGCGGTCTGACAAATTGAGAACCACTGTTCTACACCACTTTTGGTTGTAAAGCACTGCTCATAATTCACGATGGATTTCTGCAGGAGTGATGTTTTCAGCTTGAAGAAAGTGGATAACAGCGCAGATTTTGCATCCAGCAGGATTATCAATCGCAGGACACACCATACCTCACTCTGTAGGGACAAGAACAAACACTAGATGACCAGTTATATGATGATTTACAAGACAATGAGTCATGTGATGCTACCTGGCATGCACAAGCTCTCCCCCGCTCGTAGATTAGTTAACTAAAATAAACGGAGGTTACTTTTTGCTTAGCCTTCATACCTATAGAATTGTGGTGAAACCTCCGGAGGACTAAGAATGAGGTGAAAGGATAACATTAAGATTACTCTTGGGGAGATAGTTTGTGATACAAGGTGAATGGAAATGATTAGGTTCACGTCCAATGGAAGGCTTTGTCAGCAGCAATCTTGAATCTCTGGGTTATGCTGTCAGTGCATTTCTTAATTTGGACAATGGAAGAGTACATGGCATCCATAGAGTCCATAAATTCTGAGTCAGGTGCCTAAAACTTAAAATTTGGTTTTGATTTTTTCAAACAAAAAATTTTTCCCCAAAACAGAATTAATATTTTTTTCTTTTTATGCAGGTCACATCTCCATTGACACACAACATTTCTGGCACAGCTAAGGCATGTGTGCAGACAGTGTTGGCGACTTACTGGTTCAATGATACAAAGTCAGTACTTTGGTGGTTTTCGAACTGGGTGGTGCTAGGTGGCAGTGCAGCTTATGCCCGAGCAAGGCAACAGGAAATGGAACACCAGCAGAGGACTGAAAAGTTACAGAGAAGCCAAGATGTGTGAACATTATACTATTCTTAGCAGTGACTCATGTTACACAGTAGTAAAATTTTATCGGTATAAAAACTGTTGTGCAAGGAGCAAAGATTGCTTCTTAGTCTGCAGTGTCAATAACACAAAAACAATAATTTAAAATCAAAATATTAAACCAGAGAAGTTAAAAATAGGATGGACCTTTACTGGTGGTTTTGGCAGACATATTTTGTGGCATCAGACTGAAGACTGGAATACTTATTTACAAGAATCGAAAATCATGAGTTTACTTACTGATGATACTGTATCATGTAACTTGTTCTGTTGGAATTGCTAAATAAATAATATGTGTGTACATATTCATAATTTTATATGTATGACTTGTTTCAAATGATAAAGCATACAGGTTCACCTAACAAGAGATATTTTATTATATCTGAATGTGCATATATCTATCAACTCTGAAGTCAGTGTTTACCACATGATAGTACTTCATCCATTATCTTAATTCACATGTTTCCAGTGTAAAGCATATGATGTAAAATCTCAACATATCATGATAAACATTGTTGACTTAAGTATAACATGGTATTATTTAAAATGCTCAAAGTTCATTTGTATGACAAGGGTGTAAAGATTGTAAGTGTTGTGTAGTTTAACATTCATTTTGCACTGCTACATATAAATATCAGCAAATAAAATTCATGACCAGTGGATAGTTGTTCAGTGATTAATTAATCCACATGAATTGAACACAAAAAATATGTGCTTTGGTAAAATAGTGGTAACACTACTGACACTTCCATGGCTTAATAATGCCATGAACAGACGTGAAATAGAAATGCTGAATGGAAACAACACAGTGTTTATCTTGTACAAGACTCCACCAGACGGACCTCACCATCAGTTGTGGCAAGTCCTGGAGCACATCCAGAAGGAGATTGCTCAGCACACCTCAACTTGCACACCAGGAGAAACATCTATATGCATTAAAAAAAATCAGGTAGTTTGTGGAACTGGTATTTTTAACTGCTCATATATTAATAATTAGTCTTAATGACTTCCCAGGACAGATGCAGACAGAAATCTTCCAATACATTCTTCTTACACACATGGTCATGGCCTGAAAGAAATGAGATTGAGCCCATGCCAGTCAAAAATGTTGGCCTCCATCCCACCCTGAAAACCATAAATATATAAGTATGTTTAATAAATACTGTAAAACAAGGATTTTCTATCATATAAACAATACAATTGATATCAATGAAAGCCCAAGAAAAATTAAGTCAACAATTAAGCAGAACTCCCAAGATTCTTGCATACTTATCATAATTTTTTAAATGAATTAAGAGTTCATTTGGGGACCCCCTAGGACAAGGTACTGAGCCAAATGGCCCTCACCTATACATGGGCCTGCAAATGGTTGATAAAAGGTTTATGGTAGCTAATACCTCTATGTACAAGTAAAATACATTCTAAACAAGGTAAGACTATTAAATTTGGCAATACACCTGTATTCAGTCTTAATGAAATAACACTACAAGCAAGCACATTTCTCTTGAATATCCTGCCTTTTAAATATTCCAAGTTCTAGTGACCAAATCCTATATCTAGGATCCTCATTATGTCCCAATCCATGGTCACTTCAGATGAACAGAAATGTTGCAAAGTGCTTTATGTCTTATATTTGTATTTCATTACATCCAGCCTGTTTTATTACCCAACACAAAATATCAAGATATCATTTATATATGATTATCATCTCTGAGATACTTGCCAGTATTCTCAATACCAATCAAAATATGTCCAACAATTTATTTTACTTTAGATCAAGGTCTTTTGCATGGTGACACTGCATAGTTTAGTAGGCAGACATTGTTTTGGAAGAACAAGCTGCCTCCATCTTTAGGATTGAAGTGTGCAGGATAAGGAACTGTTTGTTACTCGTATATAGGCAGGCTGCAAGAAAGGTGGTAGCTGAGACCCATGGGAGGGGGTAAAGAAATGGCCCACTTCAAGCCTGAGGATGAAGGTAGCATGTTCCTCTGAAATGTCAGTATCCACCTGAAAGACTGCATTGTGTCACAACCCACAAGATCTTAATCTGAATAATCGCTGCTGTGAAATCCTCAGAACTTATGTAATCTTATTTATACCCTCATTTAATGTGATATTCTACTTTGTTCAGAATTAGTAAGAATCATATTTGGACACCAACTACAGCAGTATGAACAATCATGTAACTGACTCACTTCTTGCATCACTGTCCTTCTTGAGAAACTGACAGTCATTTTACTAATTGAGAATCTTTTCAACTATTATGCAATTGTGAGGAGTCAGGATAGCACAGTCGGTATAGTGATTGGCTATGGGCTGGATGGCCAAAGGGTCAGAGTTTGAGCCCCAGCAGGGGTAAGATTTTTCTCCTCTCCACATTGTCCAGACTGGTTCTGGGGCCCACCCAGCCTCTTATCCATTGGGTACCAGAGGCCCTTTCCCTGGAGGTAAACCTGACCACTCACTTAGGTCCCCCATACACACAAAGTTTGGCCTTCCGATCGACCTTACAGGCAAAACTGTGATAGTTTACCCCCTCCCTTTCCTCCCCATACACGCGCAGATAAATCGGCAGGCTTCATGCCACAATCACGGTCTTCCAGCCTATAATGTTGAGTCACACACATCACGTGCTACGGTCCTGCAGGCAGAACTGACAGACTGACGGGTTTCCCACAGGCCAACAGTCCAAACGATTGGCTGGCCGGCCGCACCACACGTCAGTTTTGCCTTTCAGTCTTCAACTGTGCAGGCCAAACTGGAGGCCAAACTGTGTGTGTATGGGGGCCCTTAGAACTAGTGCTGAGGTCAAGAATATGTGGAGCTATACATCCACTCCCCCATATATCTTAATGGCATAATGCTTCATTAATTAAGCACAGGGACTTTAATTTTTTTTAACCTTTATTATACAATGGTGTTCACAAAAGTTCAATATTGTGTCCTCAAGCTAACAGATGGGTTCTCATGCAATGCTGCAAAATGCATACACAATTTTCTGACAAAATAGTAATTTTATTACATGAATTTTCCATCTGTGCATGTGCACTCATTTAATTTTCATTTGTATTATGATGTATCTCAAGTCTTTAAGACAAAAGAAAAAATATGTGAGTATACAGATGTCATTCATGGGCAAACTACAGCATGCTGGCTTTTGTTCTGGCCCCAAGACCTACTGTGAGACCTATAACTATATTTATCCATTCCTTAAAGAAAACAAATTCCCAGGCTGCATTCTGAAGTTAACAGGGTAAATTTATCAAGCACAATAGCACATAAGGTTGAACATAAGTGGAATGTGTAAGAGAAAATATTTTTGTATCCAAGTAACAGTATCTCTCTCCAAATACACTCGTGATACCTTGATCCATGTTACCATACCCTGTATGGGCCATTATTTTGCAATATTACAAACATGTTACTTAGCTATAGAGCCCATGCAATAAACAGGGGAATTCTGAGGGATGAATATTTTATGAAAGTGCTTATGCAATTATCCTTTTTTTCTTCACAGAATATGAGAAAACATAACAGCTGGATACACCATAAATCCATATATATGAATATAAAGGGCAGATTACATTTTTTTCATACAATTCTCTTGGTTATAATTCCTAAATAATCATTCCTACTATTGAGCCCACATATTGCTGTCATAAGAACATATGAAGTATTGCTCTTTTTAAAATAATTCAAGCAAGTAAAATGGTGACCTAGGGTTTATGAACTTTTATATTTCAATTTATCATTTCTATGAAAGCTCACTTTCTTTACACAGTGCAGCAAGATAGAAGCACTACCACTTAGTACATCTCAAAATGAAATGGACAACAATGCTATTTGCTCATGGCTCAGATATGATGAAGAAATATACCATGACATTTTACACCACACTCTCATCAACAAACCCTCATCATTAAAAGGTAAACTTTCAGCTAAACCTTAGTAATTATGTTTATTTCTGTGTAGTAGTTCATGTGCCATTAATTTCATAATCTTATATGATAAATATCTCAAAAACCAACCAACATAATTTTCAGCCATTTTTAGAGCAAAGATAAATCTTGTTACATGTGAATCTGAAAAACATGATCTTTTTTTAATGCAATAAAATAATTTAGACCAATTTCAATTCATAGTGCTTGCTTTAATGTGAATTGCTTGATGGCCAATCAAGAGTGGTGGAGAGAAGGGGAAGTACAATATTATGAGGGTGAGGAAGGAGGAATGCAAAGGTTGAAAGGGAAATGTGGACCTGTTGTGCAACCTCTTCTGCGCTACTACTGCTGAATGAGAAGACAGAGATTGGGAAGCAATTAAACATGGACGGTTGTTTAAAGACATCATGGCCAGCAGATCCACCAACTACCTTTAGCGAAATTTCACCATCAACTTCAGTAACCATAAATACAAAACACATACTGCTGATTCTTTCTCCAAATCAATCCCCTTCTCTACCACCACAATCACCTGCTTCATCATTGCCTCCAACCAACTTCCCATACAAGTCAATGAAAGCCACCAAATCACTCGCCATCAGTTTAGCAAGCCATCCAACGTGATATTGGTGAGCGTTATTTTTTATTGTTTCTCTATTGCTAATATAAACTGTATCATATAAAAATTATTTAATAACATTTAAATATATCTTGTTAATATGTTTCTTAATGTTTGACACAATTCTTCCCCATGAATGCCTCATAACTTGTCATCTAAATCTTCCCTGTTTGCTGTTGTAATATGTGCAAAATAAAAGTTGTGAATCTCCTCATTATGTAATTACCTCCACTTTTCTGTTCATCTTTCATTTACCAATGGGCATGAAGCATCATTACCAACTCCCAACATACACCACCCACCTAGAGCATGGTCTAGTGAGAATGGTAGAGAGAATTTTAAGAACATTACAGTAAATCAAGAGTCCTACATATAACCATGGCAGTCGCCAATCACATTAAGGTACTACATGCAACCATTTGTTATCTATTTCACTTACTGAATAGAGGTTTTTCTATGCTTACTACTGTCCCTCTAAGAGAAACTCATACAATGTATAGAATGGATGATCTAGTAAAAATACTTTTAGCTCATGTTTAAAGTCTTTACATCCATCTGATTTTCCTAATTCCAAAGGCAGTCTATTATAGAATTTAATACCCAAATTGATAACGCTCAGGGCATTTACATAAGAAGTGCCACAGCCAAAAAGATCAGCATGCTGTTAATCAATTAATACATCTCTCAATAGACAGCATCAAGTATAACATACTGATGTTCTGAGACAAGAACGAGTTATCAGATGACATATATAGGCTGTTGTTCTAAGCAGGATATGTGAACATGCATATGGCAGTGCAGCAAATGAGTTGATGGTACTATATGTGCTCCCTTCATTAATTAAAAGTGAAATATTGAACTTCCTTCAACCTCAAAATTCAAGGCAGAGTTATTTTAACATATTACTGACAAAGGACAGAAAGTTCTCATCTTATTCTCCATCTCACTGAAGCAAAGGTTTTGTTCTGTGTCCTTTTGTCCCCTTCATACAGAACTGTTTTCTGCCTCCATCAAAACTACTCTGACAAGCCCATTACAGTTTAATACAATAACAACCATACAAATTTTTAAAGATTACCATGTTTTAACATTGCCTAGTCTGTATATATTTGAGGTGACATGCTTTATCAAATGATACAGGGCTTTTATGGCAATAAATTCAGACATTCATAATTATAACACATGGAGAAAATTAAATTTTCATATACAGCACTGTAATACAGCTCTTTTTAAGAGGAGTGTGATAAGTATGGGAATAAGTTTGTATAATAAGGTCCCCAATCAAATAAAACAAAGGAAAATTTTAACTCATTTAAAAAGGAATTAAAATCTTTTTTCCTGAAACATTCCTTTTATTCTGTAGATGAATTTATGTCTATTGATTCATCAAGTGTGTAAATGTAATATGTAGCTAAGCGGCCTCCGAAGTCTAGAGGTAACGTTCCCACCTCATGACTCGCGGTACGCAGGTTCAAACCCGGCGGAGGTTGTCGAATTCTTAAGGGCAGAAAAATTCAGGGAACAAGTCCTCCGGGAGGGACTTTAAGCCGTGTGTCCCGTGTCGTAGCTTTACGGCATGTAAAAGAACCTCATATCTCCAAAGGAGGTCACTGAGCCAAATTCAAGGACGTTTCCCACCCAACAGTAGTCCCTAACGCCTCTGATAGATGGGGGAAGCATTATAGACACCACCAAGCCAGTGGAGGCCGAACTCGCTGGCTTGGCGGGACTGATGGTACGCACCAATATCGGTAGGGTATAGAGACTGGTAGAATATCATAGAGGGAATCACAATGGACCAATACTGGTCTTAGTGCATGGGGAAACCCACCCTCTCCAATAACTCACTAACTAATATGTAGCTGATTCATTTGTTGTATTTGTGTAAAGACAATGAAATTAATGGTAACTAGATCTAGACAATATTATTCAGATGACAAACCCCCTATATTAGGGTGGTACAGTGTATACTGTAAAGATATGCATGAGAATTAGATGTAAAACTGACAATTTCCTTATCCAAATGGATGTAATACCTGTATATGGATTGTTGAATGATAATAAAATGATAATACTTGCATCATGTTCATTCTGAACTAAAGTTAATTGCAAAATTTAATAAAAATGCTCAGATATGCTATTGAAATTTTTCATGCACACACTGTACTTCTGGAAATGTTTTATATTTGCAGCAAACTTCTTATAATAGGCTTGAAGACTAACGTTTCATACATTATATAGGATCTTCATTAATGCCAAGCATGTTGTATGGTTATAAATCATAGAGTACTATGAGTGTCGTGATTAATCAATTTTTCACTAATTATTTGGTCAAGAAACATAATTTTACATCATTCAGTTTTAACCTTCAGAATATGAAGTTTAGTATAAAAGGAATACACTGTAGTAAACTTGATGAAGCTGGGTTAGCCAGCCCATGCACCTTGCCGATTCTTTAAATAACTACTTTCTGACTACAGTAGATAAAATTAACAGCAATAATGCTAAGAGTGATCATTTTATAGAGTCTGATATTGATAAACATTGGAGTTATTTATCTCAGGCTTTTCCGACTCCTTTCCCTGACATTAAACTTAAACCTACATCTGCTAAAGAAATTGAAAACATAATTAAGTCATTAAAACCCCAAAATTCTAATGGGTATAATGAAATTTTGGTCAATATTCTAAAAACTAGTGCACCTGCTATTATTTCTCCTTTAACGTATATCTGTAACAGAGTACTTTCAATGGGTGTTTTCCCCACTCGTTTCAAATACTTGAAATAATACCATTATTTAAAAATGGTGATAAAACAAATATGATGAATTATAGACCTATATCGTTACTTATATCCTTTTCAAAAGTTATTGAAAAGGTTACATTTGTAAGATCGCTCCATCACATAAAGGATAACAATATATTATCCAATCACCAATATGGTTTCAGGTGTGATTCATCCACAGAACTTGCTTCATATAATTTAATTAATGAAGTATTAAAGGCCTTGAATAATAATATACCAGTTGGAGGCATTTTTGTGACCTAAATAAAGCCTTTGATTGTGTTAATCATGATGTTCTATTATCTAAATTGAAGTTTTATGATATAGTAGGCAAAGCTAATGTGTTACTGGAATCCTACCTTCATGGTAGACATCAAAGAGTTGTAACTAATATGAAGTGCACTCACTCAAGTTGGGGTAAGATTGTAAATGGTGTTCCCCAGGGATCAATCTTAGGTCCCCTATTGTTTTTGTTATACATTTATGATCTGCCAAATATTATAAAGAGTAAATCAATACCTATTCTCTTCGTGGATGATACCAGTATTATTGTTAAGAACTCTAATCGTATTGAGTATGAAAACGAACTAAATTTAATATTAAAAAATATAAATGAATGGTTCAAGGCTAACTTACTGACACTGAATCTCAATAAAACGTATTTCATGCATTTCTCAACCAAGAATAGTAATACAATGGACATACTTCTCATTTATATTAACAGTCAAATTGCTACAACCGCTGATATTAAGTTCCTCGGTCTGATGATTGATAATAACTTATCATGGAAGGGACATATTGACTGGCTCATGTCCAAACTGGGTTCAGCTTTCTATGCAGTTAGGGCTATTAAACCCTATATGTCATTAGAATCAATGAGATCGGTATATTTTTCATATTTTCATTCTATTAGGACATATGGCCTAATTTTCTGGGGTAATTTGCCCCTCTGCATATCTTTAGACTATAGAAGAGGGTAATAAGTATCATCACCAATTCTAGAAGTAGAGATTCTTGTGAGGTGTTGTTTAAGAGATTAAAGATTCTGCCCCTTTACTCACAGTACATTTTTTCCATTTTGTTATTTGTGGTCAAAAACAAAGATCTATTTTTATCTAATTCTGAGATTAATACAATCAACACAAGCCATAGTAATAACCTCCATTATCCTTCATGTAACTTAACTGTCTTTCAAAGGGGAACATATTACTTTGGAATTAAAATTTTTAATAAACTTCCACCTAATATAAAAGACCAAGCTCATGAGATTAAAAAATTTAGGTCTGCTGTTAAAAAAATTCCTATTTTTAAATTCATTTTATTCATTTGACGAATATTTTAACTGTGACAACAATTAAAGATTCAGATTTGTTATGGGTGGTAGCTGATAGTGCTTTATTGTTATAGATGATGGTTTTTGTTCATGTTGTATATTGTTAATATTTTTAACTGGTATGACATTACACAATTGTGATGCAGTATGTGATGTTCACTCATGTTGACTAGTTCTATATCCATTGGTGTTTAACCATGTAAGGATTTATGGAATGCTGAATAAATGAATGAATGAAGAGGAAACAATATACAGATATGCAGTTGTGGACAGCCAATCAGGACCGGTTTTCTGACTTGGATTTGAATGTGAGATTTTCAATGCTTCACTGTAAACTGGTTTGTTAAAAATGTATGGATCTTGGCTAATTCTTAGGCACATATGAAGCAATATTTATGAAGAGATGACTTTATAAAATTTGATACCATTTGATATTAAGAATAGATCTGTATCTACAAACTGGTAACTTCTTGGATTCTGAAAGAAAGTTACAAAGATCCCTGGTGAACACCATGATAGGGAGAACCAACTCAAATTATTCACCCAAATGGAATATGGGAAAAAACAAAAAGAAAAAATTCTAGAACCAGTGTAATCTTTTATTTTCCAGTGTGGGGGTTTGGTCTATGTTCTGTGGCAATCATTAGTTTGTCAGGATTGTTTGGAGGTGTCTTCTGGCCACTAATCAATTCCAGTTTCTACAACCACATGATGCACATTCTCATTGGCCTTGCTGTTGGCTCTCTCTCAGCGACATCAATATTTCAGCTGATTCCCAAGGTATGTATAAGAACAAGCAATGTGAATATTCAGAAATAAAAATTGATTTAGACTTGAAAGGATTCTGATGATGGTGTAAGCTGTACAGAACTATTAGGCTTATTCTGGACTCTATCCATCATCTGGCATATATAAGACAAAAAACCACAACATCTCTGAGACTGGATCTGTCTCCGTCCTCAGGTCCAGTGATGGAGACTAGCTCTTTCTAACAGGCCCAACTGAGTAGGTCTATCCTGCCCCATCCATCTGAGGACGGAGACAGATCCAGTCTTGGAGATATTGTAGTTTTTTGTCTTATATATGCCAGACGATGGATAGAGTCCAAAATAAGCCTAATAGTTCTGTACAAAATTGATTTATTGCTGAAGCAAGAGATGAAAAGAGGACAGGAGGCAGAACACCACACAGAGGACAGAAATTGACAACATATGACATATTTCCTCTTTCAGGGTTTTGAAATTAAAGATGATGAAAACTACCTTGGCATAGCCACATTCATGTGGTGCAGTTTATGGATTCTCTACATGTTTGAAGTTCTGTCCAAGATTGTGCTTCATCGAAGAAATGTAAGAGATACAAACTGTGATTAATAATATTCTTCTAATTTTATATATATATATATATANGGTCTCGCTGGCTGGGCGGGACTGATGGTAAGCATCAATACTGGTAGGATATAGAGGCTGGTAGAAATCATAGAGGGAAGCACAATGGACCACTACAGATCTAAGTGCATGGGGAAACCCACCCTCTCTAATAACTAACTATATATATATATAATGTTAAAACTAACCTAATGAACTGGACCCATGATTCTTTTACTTATGACCCATTTTTCCAAAGTACAACTGTATTGATATTTTTAACAGATAGTTACTCTGTTAACATAAAGTATTACATGTATTAATAACACATATAATAATGTATAAGGTTTTTTCACACCATCAGTTTGTCATTTAGTTTTTAGTTTTTAGTATACTGTTATCTGTGTCTTCCCCCCCCTTCCCCTTCTTTGTCAATGTCTGTTTACATCTTCCGTTTCCTAGTAATTTTCTTGCACTGCTTTCACATAATTGGGTTTTTGGCTATCCTCAAATACTTCAATAAAGGAACACCATCACCGGTGGTTGCAGTTATTATTCTTCTTCCAAGAGGATGTGGTGGTGGTGGTGGTGGTGGTAGTAGTAGTAGTAGTAGCAGCAGCAGTTGTTGTTGTTGGAGTTATTATTATTTGTGACGTGTCGCCAGGAAGGCCGGACTATAAGACGTCCGTCACTGGTCAACGGCTAGCAATTCCTAGGCAATGCAATATAAGCAACTCATTGTCTAGGAAATCGCTTAAACAACACAAAAGCCTAACAGTGGGGTTTCCACCGTTACAAAGAGGCTAGCATGGCTAAATAACGAATTGTTTGAGGCATTACAACAACAATCACAAGTAAACAGGTATTCCCGTAGCAACGAGAGAGTCGTTTGCATGACAGCAGCAAAACTGAACCCTTCAACAAGGTGTTTTCTGTACAGCCCAAGTGTAGGATATAACAATCCAGCTTCGACTAGATAAGGAGTTAGTCCAGCTTCAAGGAACAAAGAACCAAGACACTTCACAGAGAATAGTGGTGCAAGTATAAACGTTGAAGAACCAATGCAAAGAGATGACGGACTAATGAAGTCGCTTCATCTAAAAGGGCATTATAGGAGAATAATTGCAATAGTGAGTGTAACTGAGTGATAGTCCAATAAACATATATTGTTAAACCCGAAACCCACACAATTTCCTTGTCACATTACTGAGGAAACACGCGACATTATTATTATTATTATTATTATGAACAAGATTTGGCCCTACAATCAATTTCAAGACTAAAATTCATCCTTCCACCTTGCTTGTAGGTGTCTCAAGTCTTGCAGCAGGCCTATAAATTGAGCCTGTCACAGAAACCTAACAGACTCCCAACTGCAATTTCAGAATGACCATGGTGAGCAGCTACCAATCCAGAGACTCCCAAATAGTGATGGTGATGGGAGCCAAAATGAGGAAGGACTGCTCTCTAATTCTACCACACATTGTACATCAGTTACAAAGGTGAAGTTTGTTTTGTATAAACTGGAATTAGGACTGCTGTACAAAAGATGAATCCAATGCCCTGTATACTCATCAACACCTTTTACCATGTGAACATATGCATTGTGATGAAAAAAGTCTTTCAAGGATATTATTTGCAAAATACTAAGAAACTTCCCACCACTCACATCACAAAAACGTGATATGATTACAGTGCCTTATTTACAGTACTTGTCTGTTTTATTTATTTTGAAACTTAATTTCCTTGAATACTTTGTATGTTTCATAGTCACAAGGTGTCGAACTGTATCTTGTAATTAGATCTCTCTCACTTCTGTTAACTGTGTTTAGTTTCATGCCTTCAAGGTTAATGGCAGAACTATTCCACCAAGGGCAATGAAAAGGCTGATCAGAGGAAGGATGCATAAACATACATATACACACTAAATATAATAAACAGTGAGATGCTGTCATTCCATGACCATTAACTATGTGATAATTTTTTCAAAAAGTGCAGGATTGTTTTCTGAAAGCTACTGACATCTTTTGAAACAGTGCTTCAAGTAGAAAAACTTGGAGATAGATGAGTCATTCTATACAATGTTTAAGTGTTTTCAGTTGTTTTGGCTGGATTAAATGTTTGTCACTTGACATTCATAATGGAGAATAAGCTAGTACATCAAGCTCTAACACCATTTTTTAAATTCAGACACTTTACTGAAGTTACTGAATGTTTTACTACACTAAACACACAAAATAGTACTGATCTGTAGGTAAAATGAAATTACAAACTGATTACATTATGAAAGAAAACAGCCAGTGGACAAGTTACTACTTATTACTACAGAGTCCTTTAAGCTGCACAAAATCGCATGATATACAAGGTGGTATTAGAAAGTTCCTGAACTGTTATTGTTGTAACTGCCTCGGTGAAATAAGGTGAGAGGGGAGGTCAATATCACACTTCCGCAAGCCTATTGCATCCGTCTGCCATCTGATACAGCGCTGTGAACATGCATTGTTTTTACAAGAGTGCTTTGTTTCGTTTTGTCTGTGATGGATGGCAAAATCAAGCAACGGGTCTGCATCAAGTTTTGCACGAAGCTCGGTAAATCCAATACCAGAACCCTTGAAATGCTTTGTGTGACTTTTGCAGAATATTCTTTAAGCTAGACAGCGGTTTTTGAATGGCATTCACATTTCAAGGCCGGTCAAGTGTCAGCTGAAGATGACATATGTTCAGGGCGACCAAGCACAAGCAAAATGACAGAAAATGTTGAAAAAAATTGAGAACTCATCAACGAAGACTGTCATTGAACAATCCCTGAGCTCGCAGACACCGTTGGGATCAGTTATGGAGTTTGCCAGGAGATCTTAACAGAAAATTTGAACATGTGCTGCATTACTCCTTCATCACAACGTGCCCTCCCACATGTCCCTGAAAACCACAGAGTTTGTGACTAATAACATGGTTATTATTCCCCATCCTCCCTATTTTCCAGGCTTAGCCCCCTATGATTTCACTTTGGTTCCCGAATTGAAAATGAAACTGAAGGGATGCCATTTAGATACATTGTCTGACATCGAAAGGGAATTGCAAGTGGTACTAGACACCATTAAGGAAAACTACTTCCACAGTGTTTCTGAAGCACGGAAAAAACGATGAGATCACTGTATACATTTCCAAGGAGACTATCTTGAAGGAAATGGCAACCAAAATTGATTAAATTAAGACAGCATTTCTTTTTGACCTAATCCAGAAACTTTCCGACACACCTTCTACTGGGTAAATAATATTTGCCATAATAAATGAAAATACTGATAATGACCTCACCAAGGAGTAGGATACACCTGTTTATGTCATGAATATAATCATGGTTGCAAAAGCTTTTTATGTATCAATGAAAATGAAGGACAGAGTTTAAGGCAACTATGAAGATTACTGTCTTTTGGGATGTGGTGCCACGTACTTCAGTAGATAGGTATCAACATTTCAATAGACCTACTGCCTTCATGTTCAGAGTCTTCAGATAGCCACCAGCATTTTGGAGGAACATTCTGCCCCCATTCTTCTGTATCCTCAAAATTGACACAACAGGTTCCTCAGAAATGCTGATACACATTAACTAAGCTACACAATATCACATCCCAGAAGACAGCACTCTTCATGAATGACAAAGCTTGTTCACTTAAGTGTGAATGAATTTTGAAAATTCTGAGCAATAATGGCACCAAGATCTGAACACTGCAAACACCTGTTAGTTTTAACTTGGTCAAACTTCTGTAAGCAAAGCTAATCTATCAAACTGCAATGATACAGCAGCATCAATTGTTTCATGTCTATCACTCTGCCACAATATAGCACTAGAAACTAGTTTTGGACTACACCTATTTATCTACTTATTCTATTATGTTATGGTGCTGCACAAACTGCTGAGGTTATGGAGCACTGGGTGAGAGCTAGAATGATTATGAATCAAGAGAGAAGTGGAAATGCCCTTGGCCTGTTTGAGATATGAGCATTTTCCTGTAAGGAATGAGGGAAACCACAAGAAAACTTAAGACAGCTGGTCCAAGACTAGGATTCAAACGGGTATTTTCTTAACTGTGCTAACCTGCATCTTATCACCCTCAATTCCACACCAGTGGCCTAGCCAGGAAATTCATGGGTCAACTAAAGGCTATTCAAATCAGAAGTAAATCACAGGCTTAAATTCTTTTGAAGAGTTCTATCTTCTGGGATATAACACCATGTAGTTCATTGGAAGTCGACTGATATTTTGAGATGACATGTTCCTTGAAATGTCAACTGACTTTCAACAGATAACATTGCATCATATCCCAGAAGACAGAACTCTTCATAACCACCAATGTGAGAACCTCAAATCTCACTTAAATTCTTTTGTCACAGACTAGTGAACATGCTGTGAACAATGAGAACCCTACCTCAAAGAAGCCAGTGGCATACATGATCATATTTGGTGATGCTCTACACAACTTCATTGATGGGATGTCTATTGGTGCAGGATATTCAAAGGATCTGAATACAGGCCTCAGCATCAGCATTGCTATAGCATGTGAAGAGTTTCCACATGAACTAGGTGAAAGACATCATATCTGAAAATAATACAAACCTCACATTCATAAGAGGTCATTCCACTGGCACCAGTAACTGCTCTTCTCTATTGATTCTGATGTTTCTTTATTTTGTTTCATTTAGCTTGCTACCTTTTTTTTTACACTTCATTTTTTCTTTTGCTTTTTCTGCTTCCTGCTGGCTTTACTTCACTTTTTCATTACTACCTAACTTTGTCTATATTTTGCATGGCTACCATATTGTTTTCAATTTTCGATATATATTGGCATTAATATATTCTTGTGTGATCAGCTGCATCAAAATTTGACATATCTAACTACCTGAGAATATTTAAGAAGTTTTATTAGCCATCAGAGATTCAAATCTAATACAGAGCTGCATATTCTTGAAGGATGTGTTTCAGAAATCTGTCATTCTATGAGACTAACACTGCTCCGAACCCTTGCTGTCACAGTGGAATTTGTGTAGGATAACGGTTTAACACAAACATGGCATTGGGGCAGTCTTTCAACTAATCAGTTTGTTAAAACTCAAGCACAGCGTAAGTCTTACTTTGAGAATTTGCCTAAAATAATGTTGACTTCACTTGTATTACAGGTGATTTTGCAATTTTAATCAACTCTGGAATGCCACTGAAGAAAGCGCTGTTATACAACTTTCTCTCAGCATGTACTTCATTTGGTGGCTTAACACTTGGCATTATCATAGGGGAGTTGGAGACCAGTGTCTACATCTTTGCTTTTGCAGGCGGCCTGTTCCTCTACGTTTCTCTTGCAGATTTGGTAAGTTTCAAAACTACAGTGATATATTAGGTTTTCGGACTTTATCAATCACTGGTCCAGTGATTGAGGCTAGCTCTTTCTAACGGACCCAACAGAATAGGTGTTTTCCTTCACCTGAGGACGGAAACAGATCCACTTTCCGAAACGTCATGTTTTTTATTAGTTATCTTAAACATCAGGACGATGGATAAAGTCCGAAAACCCAATATATCAGTGTGTTATACACCATCGTCAGAATCCTATAGTAACTACTGTACAGTATTAATGAAATCCTCGTAGGCTATCAGCCATGTCGGTTACAAATTACAAATGTTTCAGGGATCATTTTTGCCATCATCAGGATCTTATGCCACATCAGTTCATTTTTAACCAACTGATATGGCTGACAGGCTGCAAGGATTTAACTTTAGCCACCATGAAAGCTTTAGATCTTCCAGTACACAATATATATTTTTTTAAGAGCACCAATGCTAAGTGACACTATTTAAAACAACTCATTTGATGTGGCAGGAACCCTGTTGAAAAGATCAAGAAATTATCCACCTTTCAAAGAACCCAAAAGTTCATTACCATGATCACCACTGGACTCTATCCAGAATCAGATGAATTCAGTCCACAACCTCACACCCTATTTAATTAAGATTAATTTTAATATTAATCATCCAATCTATACATAGGTCTTTTTATCCTTTATGTTTTACATCTTGAATTTAATACGCTTCAATCATCTCCTCCAAGTATGCTACATATCCTGCCCACCACATCACATCTGATTTGATTACACTAAAAATACTTGAAGAGTGCACATTACTGAACTCCTGACTATGTCATTTTTACCATCCGCCTATTATTATCCTTTCTCTTTAAATCGAACTCAGCATTTTGTGCTCAAATACCCTCAACCTATTTTCTCCTTCAGAGTGTGAGACCACCACCACAACCACCACTAGCAACAATGACAACAACTGCTTCTTATATTAAATGTTATTTGTAATACCAGCACTGTAACAAAAGAAAATGTTCAAGTAACATAAGCACTCAACATTCATGTCTTGCAATAAAAATTATTCTGGTAAATCTTAATTTTCCTTAGTTAATATGCTAGTTCCTAAAGCACACTTAAGCTGATACAAGCACTTCACAATTCTGACACATTACTTTCTATAAATGTGTATGAAAACTTAATACATTGTAACAATTTTTTACATACTCATACAAAATTTTTCAAATCAGCCAAGAAATCTATTTGATTTCAGGACCCTGTAAAGTAACAATTTAAGCATTTTAGCATCTGAATTTGATCCAATATAGTATCAGAGTCCACATCTGACATTTACATGTATAAATCTGTAAAGAAAGCAGGGGAAGGAAGGTGGGTAAAAACAAAATAAATATGTATGTATGTATACTGCATATGTAATAAGGGTATTGTCTCTATCCATCAAACTACATAGCATTACAACACAGATGACCACATCTTAATATTCACTGCATTTTAAAAATCTTTCTGATCACATTTAAGACCGGCATTCCTTTGTAACTCTCTGGCTCACTGTTATAGTACCTCAACTGTAAGTCTTCTCTTCCTGTGTTAACAAGCGAACTTTACCTTTTGGAGAAATATAATAATGGAAATTTATCTTTACAAAGCTTTATTAAAAAGAAAATCAAGTCAAGGAGGACGAGGTGGGCAGATCATGTAGCATGAATGGGAGAGACGAGGAATGCGTATAGGATATTGGTGGGAAAGCCAGAAGGAAAGAGACCACAGGGAAGACCGAGGCATAGGCGGGTGGACAATATTACACGTAGAATGGATCTTAGAGAGATAGGATGGGATGGTATGGATTGGATAGATCTGGCTCAGGATAGGGACCAGTGGAGGGCTCTTGTGAACACGGTAATGAACCTTCGGGTTCCATAAAATGCTGGGAAATTCTTGGGTAGCTGCAGAATTTGCGGCTCCTCCAGAAGGGCCCAGCTCCACGAGTAAGTTATTCAAAAGAAATTAAAGAAACATTGGTTCCCTTCTGCTCACATTCAAGGATTGTCCTAGTAAAACAGGCACACCTCTCTAGATGAGTTTTTTAACCAAATGTGAAAAAGCTATACAGACTGACAGCTGAAGAAATTAATGAATCTGCTTGAGTGGTTAAAGGAATAACATGGCATGCAGCTTAGTGTATTTGCATTAACATTTGTACTGTATTCAAACACAGATATTTTAAAATGCATGCCAAAGTTATGGCATAAAATAAACCACATTTTTCTTCATATTGCAACATTCTCATTTCCCTGATATTATAGTTCTTCAATTTTACTTCTGTTTTAAATGGCCCTTCAAAAGTATAAAATTGAGGTCACAATGTATGAGTATATGTACCTAATCACATGCAGAGGTTATGGTATGTCAAAAGAAATGGGAGGACACTGTGTATGGGATATGCCTTTAAATACTGGTCCTTTGCAGATATATTTAAGCTGTGTGAAAACCGATATGAATTTGCCATTTATAGAAATTACACAAACCTAACCAAATTATGAAGAATTCTACCTTTGGGGATATACTGTCATGTACTCAGCTGAAAGTCAACTGACATTTTGGAATCACATTTGATCTCCGTCTGCATCGTCAAGAATAAGCCAAGCAAGAAACCAGCATGAAGCAGGTAGCAAGCAGATCAGTCTACCTGCAAAAAGTTTAGGTTTATATAGAACACGAGGGAACCACAAGACATCTTGTCAGTTATCATTGACTCACTCACAGAACAGTGTGAACCAAAATGAGAAGAGACAAGACAAGGATAGCTAGCAGTGGCCCTGTAAAGGGGCACCAGTGCAGATCTGAGAACAGAAGGAAGAGGGTGTGGTTGACAAAGGAGAATGGGAAAGAAGTCATGTGCATAGGTCATAGGCATGCAGTGTGGTATAAAAATAGCAAAGGGAGCATTATATCCCAGAACTCTTCATAACCACTGCTGTGAGAACCTCAAATCCTATGCTAACCAAATTTATGTACAGATTTACTAGCAATAATATTATTCTTCACTATATTCTAAATGGTTTAGTTCCTTTGATACACTAACTAGATTAAAATAAAATAAAAATCATGATTATGGTCTTCTGGAATGTGACACCATGTAGTATGGTGGAAACATACTGTAACGTGTAGACCCGTTGACAGGTAATGGCCCATACACATGCGGCAGAGGAATACATCACATAAGCAGTGATGTCATGCAACAGAAGAGGTGTTGCAAGCAACATTCTCTGTGGATCCACTCTGAGGCTTTATGACTTGACTGACCGAGTTCAGATCAGTTAGCCAGCACAGTGCAGTGGAGTGAAGTGAGGTGGTTGAGAAATCAGAGGACTGCTGTAGTTCAGTCATTGAGAGCTGCTGCTGTTAGACGCCGGTAGCTCAGGCACTGGGATAGTTCAGGAACCTGGAGAAAGGGGAATGTCCACTGTTGGAAGCCGCTACCAATAAACGGCTAGTGGAGACTGTACCAGACTGAGAACACAAGTCTGTGTGTGATAGTCATTTGTGAAGTGTAGTAATGAGTTGTATAAGTGTGCAATGAATTCGATTACCAATCCAAACCCTCTCTAGTCACTCATACATGTGACTCAAGTGGGATTGGAGACCACAGTAGGAAGTTACATTGCCATACTACGAAGACAGAACAAACACTGGAACACCTGCTGGCTGAAATAAGAACCAACAGAGAGGAAACGAAAACCATTCAAGAAAAAATAGAAACCAACCAAGAAATGATCACAGTCAACATGGACACCACTCAAGAAAAGGTGAATGACAGAAAATAGGAGATAAAAGTCCAGGTGGCTTCCCTTGCCTCCGTTGACAGCTGAAGAAATGGACCCAGGGCAATGGTGAGTCCAAGAAGAAGATGGCTGCCACCCACAGACAAATGACCCACTGCGCTATTCCTCACTGTACAAGCGACCAGCCAAAGATAATGTTGTATGCAGAACCCTGAAAGGATGGATGTTCAAAAGCAGATATCAGCATGTCCTAAACGCAACAATGGCATATGGGACCAAGGCCTGAAACAGCAGCTACAACTGGGAAACAGAAAATGTTAACATGACCTTCAGGGAGACCCTATGGCTGAGGATTGCAAAGAGAGCAGTTGAATCTTCCATGGGAATTAAAAAAATGAGCCAGTCACCACCCAAGTGAAAGAAAAGACTACTAGCAGCTTATGAGCCAGAGACACAGATGTGTCGACCACTCTTGGAACTTCTGCCCGCATCGATCAGAAAAGAAGGGTGATACACCTAGGCCAACAGGCACCTGACGAGGGATCTGCTCGGGACAAGTGGTCTTAAGAAGGGAGAAGCAGAAGCAGTTGGAGAGTAATCACCGTGAGAACCGAGCCACAGGAAAGGAAGGTGAGGCCAATCACAGACATCACAAGCACAGCCCTTGAGAAAAGAAGAAATGGTGGTATGCCTGTAGGCTATTCAGGATGAATAACCTTAAGGAGGGAGCAATGTAGCATGTAGGCCTGTTGCTAGGTAATGGCCTGTGCACACACAGTAATAGAAGAGGTGTTGCAAACAGCGTTTTCTGTGGGTCCACTCCAAGACTATGTGACTCAGCCGGCTAGTTAAGTGCAGTTAGCGAGTACAGTGCAGCAGAATACAGTGAAGTGAGCTGGTTGGTGAGCCGTCAGTTATAGGACTGCCATTCAGTTGTTGTGAGCTGTTGCTGTTAGATGATGGTAGCTGAGGCACAGGGATAGTTCAGGAACCCAGAGTAAGTGGAATGTCTGCTGTTGGAAGCCGTTACCAGATGACAACTGGTCAAGACACATCAGACTGAGAAGACTTATTGCATGCTGTGGTGAACTGCAGAGTGTGTGAATTAGTGATAGTACTGTACTTACTTGTAGTTACGATCTGTAAGTGTCCAATAAATCCAATTAACAATCTAAACCCTGTCTACAGTCACCCATACACATGACAATACCAACTTTTTGAAGAAACCTGCTCCCTCAACTTCTAAGTAGAAGAGCATGCCAAATGGAGAAAAAATATAGAGATAAGGAAAGAAAGGCTAGGGACTTGGGCTATGAATGAACCAATAGGAACCAGTGGCCCTGGAAAGAACAGGTGCTAAGAGGATAAATTAAGAAGTAAAGGAGGATGGTGGGTAAAAAATAAAATATAATGAAAATAACAGTACCTATCTATCACACTACACAAGGCCGCGCCATAGCTCAAGCGGTTAGTCACTGGCTTCCCACCACAGCGGCCCGGGTTCGATTCCAGGTCTGGTCAAGTGGGATTTGTGGTGGACAAAGTGGCGCTGGGGCAGGTTTTCTCCGAGTANTTCCCCTGCCAATCTTCATTCCACCAATTGCTCCACAATCACCCTCACCTATCATCTGGGGCTGGTACAACAGGCCAGAAGTGGCCGCAGTATAAGGGACTTAGTCCCACCCCACTAGCAATAAAAAAAAACTCACACTACACAGCATCACATATCTGAAGACCAAATCTCAATACTTACCTTCTGGATGAACCTAAAATCTCCTAAACAAAAAATAAGCAAATCCAAGGAAACAAAAAGTACCTGCAATGTGAAAATCTCAGAAATGTCCTTACCATCTGCCAATCACGCATCTCTTACACTAAAACTCAGAATGAAACCAGTGCAAATATTTTTTTTGGTCACAGCATTCTGCAGTTGTCATATCAGGTTACTAATTCTTGTTTACAACTCATATGACTGAACATGTGGCTGGTGTTCTTATGTGCCCATATTTTTCCTATTGGGCTCGTTATGATGACAGCAATCTGACTGGTGGTTAAATTTAAGTAATTTACTTTTAATATTTAATGATGTAAGGTATGGCTATTTTCAGATGCCTGAGTTGAACAGAATGGTTGAAGAGGAACTTCATAACAGTAAAGCATCTGCTCTAGTAGTTCTGCTTCTACAAAATGGGGGCATATTCATTGGTGTCTCTACCCTTTACCTAATTACCAAATATCCTTTAACAATATCATGATGAAATAGAACAACAAATAAGTGTACTAGAGCAATGAATTTAGATATGAGAACACAACTACAATGATAATCATAGGAATAAGATGAGTATGGCCAATATAATTTACTATTTTACAAGAAGGCAGTTTTGCAATGTGTAACTAATTAGAGTGGAACCCACATTTAATGTAAATTTAGGGTCTTCCCTCATTTAAAATTCAACTTCACTGACCCGAAGTCAATAACATCAGCATAAAAGTTCCAACATTTCACGTTTTTCTCAATTTAGGGTTCCAATCCATGGCCCCTCTTCCAAAGAAACCTTATAAGGGAGTAACACCACACATTGCAACACTGACAGAAAAAATTAAATTATTAAGAAGGAACAATACAAATGACAAAATAACATTAATGTACTTTATGTTGCCAGGTTTTAGTATAATGAACATGAAAGAAGCTAAACTGTACCACGTCAAGTGCAGTCATCATTAACATGAAGCTTCACAATAAAATTACTGTTTGCATAATGTCATCAGTTTAACTTTCAGTCCCAGCAGCTACATACTACCTTCAAATAATACACAGTTTTCCAGTTTTAAAACACGAGGCACTGCAAGTCAGGAAGTCAAAGTGCTGTCTCTGCAAAATGACATGTCTGATAATTAATTTTTGAGTCACAATTATTTCGATGCAAAAATATTAGCCATTTCCATCCTTCTTTCTGTTCCAGTATGAAAATTTATACTCTGTAATTTCAATTGAGCTGATGGGCTTTTCTTGAATAAAACTTTGATGTATGTATACTTCATGGCATAATTAATGCACATTTTTTTAAAGGTTTGTGATCAAAAACTTGCATGTGTGAATGCTCATGAATTTATGAATATGCTATTATCATAAGAAAAATCACAATGTTCATAACTGATCCATAAAAGTGAAGCACTTTGAGCCTATTTTTGTATCTTAGAAAAACAAGTAAGCTTATGAAATCATCATGCTGTACATGTGTTTTCTCCCTTTAACTTTTGAACAAGCAGACCAATTTTCATGATGTCTGATATGAATATTATATATTGAAAGCCAACCAAACGCTGTACTTTGTATTTCTTGCTGTCAGTAATAGCACAGCAGATGCAGGAACTTCTGAGGTAAAAGTGACATTAGCACTACTTCATACAGGATCCCAAAATTATGTATGGTAACAGAGCTTTAGAAAATATGCAACTTTGGTTCAGGTACCTTTATTGTATAATGTATAAAACAACATGGCAGCCATGTAAAATGTTCATTTAGCTTTCAGTGTGACAGCAATAACTAAGAATAAGATATTTTACATGAAGATAATTTCATGTTCCCCTAAATTTTGTATGAAATATTATTTATATGTCACTATTTAAATATAAGATGAAGATGATGGAGAAATTTACATTTTTTATAAAACAGGACAGATTTGTAATTTAATGCTATCACTTAATTTGGGCCATGAACATCATCTACAGGTTGGACTTAAATCTGGTACAATAAATGACACTATAAAGAGTTCTACATTTTGGAAGGATATAATGCCATGTAGTCTGTAGAAAGTCAACTGATGTTTCAGAGAAACATGTCACTTCCATCTTCAGGGTTGATGAATAAGCTAAGCAAAAAACCAGCATAAATTCAGGTGGCAAGCAAAGCACTACATTATACCCTAGAAGACAGAACTCTTCATAACCACTACTGTGAGAACCTCAAATCTTACACTTTGCTAATATAGATGGTAAAGGTAAATGTTAACTTGCCCCTGTGCTTAAGTAATTAAGCATTATGCCATGAAGGCATATGGGGGAGTGGAGGTATAGCTGCACAATTCTTGACCTTGGTACTAGATGGAGACAAGAGGTCACCTTCAGGCCTGAACCACTTTACCCTGGGGGAAGAGCTCCTGGGTCCCATTGGAGAGAATGCCAGGTGGGCTCCAGAGCCAGTCTGGACACTGTGGAGGAAAGAAAAATCTCTTGCCCCTTTTGGGAACTGAACCCTGGCAGTCTAACCCACGGCCCTTTACATACCAACTGAGCTACCCTGACCCTATCTGCTGTAAAAATAAACTGCCACTACCGTTGCCACAACAACAACAACAACAACAACAACAACAACAACGATCTGTAACATATTTACAATTGCTGACAATACACAAATCCTGATTCAAATAAGATTAAGTCTTATTCCCACCTACACATGGGCCCAGAATCACTCACAAGCTAAATAACGGCATTTTATCAAAAATTATATTACCTAAGTATAACATTAACAACACAAGATTTGTAGAAAACAAATTCTGATCAGTAGGAAAGTAAACTTCACGAGTTCTGGCTAGACATAAAATCAAGAGCTCTTTAATTTCAAATCTCAAGCTTCACATCACACCCAAAATGTTTATTTAGCATTACACAGTATTTTGCCTAAAGATATGTTTCATCCATTGTATTCACATGGCTATATCTTACCACAGATCACACGACACAAAGAAAATGATAAAGAACAATTATTACTGATCCACACCAAATATAATGCCTTCCTATTTTGCTCATGCTCAATTCTGGAATAAGCAGCCATGATCTTGCACTGAGTGAGGCGATGTTACAACTGGGATGCTGCACAGCATGCATCTCTGCATGATATAACAGGCGGGACATATCATTTTGTTCATTTCAGACTTTTTTTTTTATTGCTAGTGGGGTGGGACTAAGTCCCTTGTACTGGCCTACTGTACCAGCCCCAGATGATAGGCGAGGGTGATTGTGGAGCAATTGGTAGCAATTGGTGGTATTGGTGACTTCCCAAGTGTCACTTCACAGGCCCCAAAAAATAGAAGTCTGACAGGCTAAGGTCACTGATTCATTTGTACCATCTGGCATGAGTTCAACACAAATGTTACAGGCTAGGGAACCTTATTTATTGAATATCCCTCATAAGAATGTAATGCAAGAGATGTACAGGAATTGACTACTTTTCTGTTTCCAAATGAAAAATAAGGGTGTAAGAATTATGCAACAACATACAAGGAGTATGATATTGATATTCAATTGATATATATAAGCTTGCCACTTCAAGGAGTCACATGTACATCCTACAGAACAAAGGATGCATATTCCTAAAAAACTAAAGCATCAAAGAAACAAACACAAATAAAACCTACAAGATCGCTATAAAGAAATAAACAGATCTACGCACTTTGAGCTGCTTACGAGCATATATAAATAACAGGATCAGGCTTCTCCATTTTTCATTATTTTCACCAAAGAATTAAGATTGTTATTCTTCAGTGCTGTTCGACATAGGTTCACTATATTTGTTTTGTATTTTCCAACTGAAAAGAAACAAATTAAGATTTAGCACAGTAATATCATCATCTGATCAGGTAATCTGAGCCAGAGCACTGTAATATCAATATTAACTGTGATCATTTAAAAGATGCATGCAAATATTTAAATTATGACAGAAAGATACAGGGAGAAGATTGTAGGGCACATCAATCACATGACTCAAACATATGAATCACGATTACAGGAATTCTGGATTCAAACCCTCCCAAATGAGTTTTTGTGTGAACTTAGGAAAAAATGCTATACAAGGAAAAAGATTTTCACCTGCATAAGTGATTTCACAAGTCAGTACTAAAAATTCAGCTGTTCTACATAAAACTGAAACCTCAAACCTTTCCAGGCATAAAAGTGATTTACCTCGTAATCGTGCAGCCTTTTGAATAATGACATTCAATTGTCTGAGAGACTCCAACAGTTCTTGGTGGTTCTTGCAGCGAATGTTATAGCCCCTAATCATATCCGTGTTCACATCATTCAGCTCCAAATACCATTTGCGCATACTTTTCCTGAAACAACCAAATGATTTATAAACACAAACTGAACATATGTTATTAAAAATTGAAGCAAAATCATTTCAGACATTTATTAAATACTACAAAATTCTGGGGCACGTGGTCACATAGCTGGTTGAGGCACTATGCTACAAGCCAGAAGGTAGCAAGTCATCTTCCCGATGAGATCATTGGAGTTTTCAATTTACCTAATCTTTCCAGCTGCATTATGGCCTTGGGGTCAACTGACCCTTTAACAGAAATGAGTACCAGGAAACTTCCTGGGGGTAAGTGTGGCTGGCATGTAATGCTGACAATCTCACCACCACCTGTGAGCTGTCTAGAAAATTTGGGAATCTCAACATTTCAGAACCCTATGGGCCTCCATGACCTGCTACAGGGATAGCTTTACCTTTACTATTAAATTCTGCATTTCAATAGGCTTCCATTTCCAAAATAAATCAAGATCAAGGATCAGTAAACCATGGCCTACACTATACAGGCAGTGAATTGCTATAGTTAGTAACCTGATGTTAACCTTGTACTACTTCAGTTAGGCAAATATTTTCTCTAGTTGGGTATAAGTTATTTCTGGAGATCTGATGAAGATAAATATGGAATACTGTAATCTATCACTGTTGACTACCTAAACCCTCAGAGCAAAAACAGCCTCCTTCTTGTGTCAAAGGTTTTGAAATACAGTTAATCCCATATACTGGAATGACTGACTGACTGACTCACTGACCAACTGCATGGAAGCTAACACTCAGCTACTCAAGAAAAGTCCTGTCTTACAGGGAATCTGAAGCTTCATTATTGTGTTTACAAGAACCCACCAAGTACTGAAACTGTAGGTTTATGTGCATTATTTTACGATACTTTCAGTATCGTATAGCATCAAACTGTAGAATAATACGTGAATGATAAATATGAAAGGATTTTGAAGGAAGCAGTCATGGCTTAGTCAAGGTATTATCCTGGAAATTGATAAGATAAATAACTGCTTATCTCTGTGAGAACTCACATATCATCTAAATGTCTGGCATCTTCTGCACGAACCACCAAGCTACGTATGAGGCCTGAGTGATCTGCCATCTCTGCTCCAAGCCTTAATCGGACATCTTGAAGAGCAGAAACCTTTTGAAGGAGCTCCCCAATTTTCTCCTGCTCCTCTGGAAAGTTTGCACTCACCTATCAAAGAACTATGTAGTCACTGTGAGGTTCACAGACATTGGTCAAGGGACCAACTGATAAGCTACATAGGTAAGTCAATAAATAAGTTACAAATGGATATAGAACTTAAACAAATAAGAGTACTGATTTTAAAAATGCTTTTATTTCTCAACAGAATCTCCCTGTACATTGAGGCACTTGTCCCATCGTTTCACAAGCCCCTGAAAACCAGACTCCATGGCACTGCGCTGCTGTCAGTCGGTAAAAATGGCTGGTGTGCTCAACACGTCCAAGTCGTATGAGGTGCAAAGTGTTATTCATTTTCTATGGAGCAAGGGACGAATGCCCATCGAGATCCATAGGGAAATGCAGCCGACATATGGGGACAAATGTCTCACTTTGAGAAGTATGCAGTGGTGGTGTTGTGAGTTCACTAATGGCCGGGAAGACCTTAATGCCAATGTGCAGTTGGGGCGGCCTCGCACCTCACTCACACCGGACAACATTGCCCGTGTGCACCTGAAGGTCATTTCCAAGGAGCTGGGCATTTCATATGGCAGTATTTACGATAGCATTCACGATTCCTTGGGGTATTGCAAGGTTTCATGTTGGTGGATATGTAAGCTGTTGGATGATCTCAACAAGGCCAAGAGAATTGACATCACTGCAACATTTGCAGCATTACTCTTAGGAGGGTGAAAGGTTCCTTGATCTCACTGTCACCAGAGATGAAACATGAGTATTGCATTTCAGTCCAGAATCCAAGTAGCAGAGTATGGTGTGGAAACATCCTGGTTCGCCTGTCATGAAGAAATTCTGCAGAACGCCATCCTTCGGGAAGTTGATGGTTACGGTCTTCTGGGATCGCTAAGAACCACTCCTGCTGGATTTCATACCATGAGGCATGACATGCAGACAGCTGTTGTGGCACACTCACACAACTGCAAGCTGCCATCAGGAAAAAGCGCCTGGGGATTCTCGTGGATGATGTGGTTCTCCTCCATGACAAGACCAGGCCTCATGTGGCAAACAGGACTGCCGTCCGACTGCAGTCATTCGGATGGGAGATTATGGAGCATGCACCGTATAGTCCAGACATCGCCTCCAGTGATTACCACGTGTTCGGTCCACTGAAAAAGTTCCTAGCAGGCCAGAGGTTCATTTCTGACGATGACACGAAAACTGCTGTCCAGCGGCGGTTCCGCGCTCAACAGGCCAAATTCTACAACAGCGGCATCTCCAAACTAGAGGTGCGATGGGACAAATTCCTGAACCAGGGTGGTGACTATGTGGAAAAATAGCCAAAGGTACTTAGAACACTGCCTGTATTTTGATTTCCTTGTATGTGTATTATTGTGGCTGAAAAAAAAATAGGGGCAGAGACTTATTGATTTGCCCTTGTATATCATTTTAATTGTACATAATTACTTACATACTTTTGAATCACAATTTCTACAATGCTGCAAACTACAAATTGTGAGAAACAGGTTATATATAATGCAAAGGAAAGTCAACATGTATTAAATGTGTTCTGATATGAAAACTGTCATAGCAATGTTACTGAATGGTTATTAAAGTAAACAATTACCTGCAGTTCTTGTAAATTCAGAAATGTGGCAAGTGACTGAATAATATCTCCAGCTAATGCCATATTACGAGTGCTGATTTCCATATGCCCACTGGATTCCATACTCAGTGTCACCTCTGTGTTGTCACGCAGAGAAAGGAAAGTTATGTTCAAGTCTTCTTGTACTTCATAATCAGCCATGAGCAAGAAGTTTTGATTAATCCACATGGCAATCTAGGAAACAAAGTTACACATTACTATAAGAGTATAAAAAAGAATTTGACTTTCATAAGCCGGTAAACAATTTTGTCTCAGATAGAATTAAGCATATGAACATGTCATGAATCAGAATTAATGACAACAGAAAGAGCTAAGTGGTAATTTGAAAATGGGTTCTCATCATATCTAGAAGTGGTCATGCTTAACCTTCAATGCTGACATTTTATGAGTGCTACACAGCTGCCAAAGGTAATGTTATTAGTTACATGGCACCTCAAGATTCTTGTTGAAAATGACAGTGCAACTATGAAATCTACTTCTTTCTCTGCATTCATTTCTATTATTCTATTATTTTTCCTATGTACATTCTATAATAACATATGGATTAACATTCTGGGGTAACTCCCCGCATAGTATAAAAGTGTTTAGGATGCAGAAAAGGATAATTAGGAATATAACAAATACAAGAAAGAGAACATCGTGTCATAATTTGTTTCAAGAATTGGATATCCTCCCACTACAAGCTCAATATATATCGTCGATTTCCCTGTTTGTTATAGTAAATAAGGAATTATTCACATTCAACTCACAAATGCATAATTGTAGTACCAGATCTATCTGTGATCTGCATTATCCGCAAACTAGTCTAACACAATTCCAAAAAGGAATATGTTACATGGGGGTAAAGATCTTTAATCATTTGCCACCAAAAATCAAATCTAATGACTTGAAAAATTTTAAAATTCAGTTGACAACATTTTTATTGCAAAACTCTTATTATACATGTGATGAATTCTTTAGTAACAAATTTGCCTAGAAATATGGATAATACCATAAACAATTTTAATATTGCATAATTTTATGTATAGTGATGTAAGACTGTAAATTTAACACATGTTTTTTTATCTATTATAATGATTATAAGCTGTACATATATATTTATATTCGTATTGTACCATATTAACTTTGTGACTGGTTCTATATCTATGTATATGGATTTATGGAATATACAATAAATGAATGAATTAGACAATGATCAGTGCAACAAACTCTTCACCTGTCTTGCACATCTCTGCTGTGCAGATTATCTTCCAACATTAACATCTATCCTCTAACATGCATTTTCAAACCCTTTCGACTGGGATATACTTTTTTCAACATACACTGTTCAATGCATCCCCAGCATTTCTACCACCCATTTTCCTAATCACTAACAAAATTTGATGTCTGTCCACTGTTTGAGGTGACACTTTATACATTTTAAATAACTGATTCCTTTCGCTGCTACAGTAATTTGTTTTTATTCCAAATATAAGGAGAAAGCTCAGATTTTGAAGTATAATGTTTTCTCTACTGCCACATTCACAACAGTTTAACAATGTATTATTCAGTGATATCATTTTCAACAGGGTAAACAGCTGGTGACTAACAATCCAAGCTATGGCATGGCCCTACAATTTAATTGTAGTTCAATTCTTTATATATTTCCAAGTACAGTTCATGAAAATGGTGCGTCATAAAAGCAGTAGTGAAGATTTGAAAGGCCACTCCACATGGGGCACTAGGCCATTTAAGTACTATAACAACTGTAAGCAACCTTCGGGTGCCATAAAATGCTAGGTAATTCTTGAGTAGCTGCAGATTTGGCTTCTCCTCAAGAAGGGCTCAGCTCCATAAGTAAGTAAGCAACTTAAGTAATTAGCTATTCCTGTGTTCTGCTGTATACAATCTAGGTTCATGTCCCTTTTTAAATTAATTTGTTTCTATATACATTTTTAACATTCCTATTCTGTGTTCAAGAATTTTGTCTTTTTGACTAACCTTTCTAGTCTGTACAGGCACCGCCGCCACCGCTGCCTCCTCCTCCTCCTCCTCTGCTGTTGTTCTTATTTTATTTTGTAAAACACTCATTACTTAAGTACAGGTTTCCTGTACATTAAATTTACAGGATATAACCACAAGGTTTTGCAATGTCACCATCTCAGTAACTGTTGGCTTACATGCAATGTTGTCACATGTAGGGTGGTATGTGTGACGAAAATAACGGGCTCTAGTTTGGATGATTGGATTTATTAGCACCTTGGTTATAAGTTCTCTTAATCACATGTAAATACAGTGCTATCCCTGATTTACACAATTTACAGTTCACCAATGCACAAGCACTAGGACTGTCCATCTTCACTAGTCGTCTCCTGGCAGTGGTTCTCATAGAAATTAGCACTTAAAATCACTGTGAAGTCTTCTTGCTATTTCATCTTCAATCACTCTGGAACTTTGGAACTAAAAATTCTTCTGGACTCACTCCTCCAACTTATGACTGACCCGTAACCGCCTTTGAACTAATTGTCACTCCCTCGTTTATTCTGGAAATCTTGTTATATATCCGCGGCATGGACCGCATAGAAAACACTGTAAGAACCATTGCATAACCTCGCAACTGGTCACAGAGAACCCCATTCCAACTGTTGCTCAGCATGAAAAAAACAGCCTCATCTATTGCTGTATAACCTAGCAACAGACTGTTTACCAAGAATTGGTCTTCGTGGGAACTTGTTTACCAACACGTTGCCTAGCAATGGGAGTACATGTAACAATATTTCATATAGAATGTGTACATATATTTAAGATCTGTAAAAAAAAATTCACATGCCTAGATCCAATGGTTCATTAGTTATCACCATCAAACTGAAAATAAAAACATCTTTAGTCATTCTGTTGTTTTACATTATTAAAAGAAAAAACACAAACAGAAACAAACATACTAACTTAACAAAAGTTACATATTCTTCCAAGATCTTTTTCCACACATCATTTCAGAACCTTAAAGGTAAGTTGCACTAGTGCCAATCCTACCTCACAAGTTAATGGTCTCTCATGATGCAGGAAATTAAAAGTGGCCAGGGTCACCTCCAATGCCACAATGTTCATAATGTAGCATGTAGACCTGTTGCTGGGCAGTGACTGTGAGACAGGCAAATATACAAGAGCCATTACTGAGTAATGCCTTTGCAAACAAACATGTCCCCATAGAAATGACTGGACTATTACAATGAGGAGCAGTGTTTTCTATGTGGTCCGTGCCAAAATGATATAAGCAGGGCAAGTTGGAAGCTGCAGATACTCAGTGAAGAGTGGAAGGTTGGTGTGAGATGATCACCAGCCTGGCAGTTAGTTGGAGCAATAAGTCAGTTGTGGGATCCTCGTGAGCCAGTAAGGATGATAGCAGAGGACATTGTTAGGATCCCTTACCAGGAAATGACTAGTGAAGGCAGAGAAGACTTTATGTGTGCTGCACATACAGAGATCATTAGAATCTGTTAACCAGTGAGGCTGTTATAGTTGCTTGTAGTTACAACTTGTGTGTATAAGTGGTCAATAATTCCAACTACCGTATCAATCCAAACCCTGTTTATAGTCATTCAAACATCTGACAATACTAAGTTTCATGAACACTGATCAATCAGTTCAAAAATTTAAATGAGAACACATACACACAGACCATGGTGCTCTCATGAACTTAGTTTTATTTCCTTAAGGAAGGGAAGTAGGCTAAAAATAACACATGAAAGACAAAGATACAGGTAAGAGATTGAAGAAATATACACACAATTTGTTGATAAAAACAGATAGTGGCCACTTGAGAGAAATAAAAATGGGAAAGCAATATTATTCAGGAAGCTGGAAATATAGTGTCATGATGGAATGAGATTAACCTTGTCTGATGATAACTTTCAAATACTACCATATCAGGTAATTTAATTAAATATACTAACCCGCTGGAGTCTTTCACTGATGACAAAAGAGACAAAACTGTCAACATCCTGTGTCCGTTCAGCAAGCACAGCATACATTGAAAACCGTGGCAACTGCCTAGTAAGTTCAAACACATGATAATGCTGACTTCCTTCATATCCAACCAATGCCTGAAAGAAAATATTAGGATTCATGAACCAGATACATTGTAAAAGCAAGTACAGTGAACCACCCATTTAAGGTTTCTTTTGGGAACAGTGAATTTGAGCAATGAACTCAGAATTCTGTACTTAATTGAGGTAATTTACTACCAAGATTACTGACCTGGACATCAGTAAAATTTAATGGTAAACAAGAAAAAACCCTTAACTGAGGAACATTAATTGAATGTTTCACTGCAACATATTCACAAAAATTATTCCAGTTTAATACAAATACAAAGTTGTCTTGTGTAAAGCTATAACATTAAGTGAAAACACAAATATCATAACAACTGAAAGTTCACCAATGAAAGAAAAATTTCTCTTTTGCACACATTTTGCTAAGGAATACAAAATGCAAGTGTAACACAATAATCTTCTAGTCTTATGGAAGATCCAGTGTCTGTGTATTAGTACTGGTATGTATAAGAGAATGTGTAACTGAAATGTTGTAAGTGTATCATGGAACCATTACTGTAGACCTGGGAAACATAAATTACACAGAGCCGAAGGACTAGAACTGGGACTAAGGGTAACTAGTAGGAACCAATGGCCCTGAAACAGGCTATACTGTAAGGCCAGATGTTAAAGGACAGAACCTGAAACACAGAGAGAATGTTACATAAAGTTTCCTCCCACACTCTCATCTTTTCCTACTCTTGCAAACATATCTTGGATGTCTCAACAGTCTTCTTATCTTAGTTTCAAGTTCCAACATTTATTTTAGAATTCTGAACCTTTTCACAAACCATCTACACCCAGTGGCATCTACAGTATCCCTCTGACTCATCTCCTCAATTTTAAATTCTATAATTTTCGTATATTTTCTTGTTTTGTTAAATGTTCCAAATACTAAGACATTAATTTGTAGTACTCATTCCAACACATCATATTTCATCAGAACCTCCTTGGAACATCTTCCCTTAAACAAAATCAACTGCTTGCTTGGTTCAGACTTCAAAATATGACTCAAATGCTGGTGACTTTTACATTATGCTTCAAAGCAGAGTTAATAAAACCCTGGAACATGAATTTCTGACACATTCCAAGTGAAGATGAGGTGAGAACATTCTCAAACATCACGGCATCACAAATAGGTGGTACAGTATGATATGGTAGGTGATGCTTATGATCAAGTAATCGTATCTAAAATTACAAACTTTTCTAAATCATGAATATTATCATGTGTACGAGTGACTATAGAAGAGGTGTGGTCTGCTGACTCGATTTATTGACCGCTTATACACTCAATTTGTAACTACAAGTAAGCATGTAACTATAACAGTCTCACTGGCTTACACATTCTAAAGATCACTGGAACTGCAGCATACATAAAGTTTTCTATGTCTTCACTAGTTGTGTCCTGGTAACAGACCCTAACAATGTACCCTGCTGATGTTCTTACTGGCTGGCGAATATCCCACAACTGAACTAAACTCTAAACTTGCCCCACTGATAACCCCTTAGCATGGACCACATAGTAAACACCGCTCACTGTTGTACTTCAATTGTTTCCATGGGAATATGTCTGTCTGCAAAGCCATTACTCTGTAATGGGCCTACATGTTACATTGCTCCCACCTTAAGGCTATTCATCCTAAATACCCTACAGGCATACTACTATTTCCTATTTTCCAAGGGCTGTGCTTGTAATGTCTCTGATCGGTCTCGCCTTCCTTCCTGTGGCTCAGTTCTCATGGTGATTACTCTCCAATTGCTCCTGCTGCTCCATCCTTAAGGCTGCTCGTCCCAAGTGGCTCCATCATAAGGTGCTAGTTGGTCCAGGTGTACTACCATCATCCTTCTTTTCTGCTCAGTGCAGGCAAAAGATCTGAGCGTGGTCAATACTCATACATCTTCAGCTATTACTCTATGTGCAATTTCTTCTTTCATTTCAGAGGGAGCTAACCCCTCCACAATTCCTGACACTCATTTTCCATAGTCTAATGGAAGCCTGACTATTTGCTTTGCGACCTCCAGCTCAATAGTTAGTCCAAGGGCCTCATATAATATCTTAATGCTTCCCAGATATAGCTCCTGTCTCCTGCTTCATCCTCTGATGCCATGTTATCCTCTCCTCTCACAGACACAGGTGCTGGATTGCGCCTCGGTCCCATATGCCACTGCTGCATTCCAGTTGTGCCCAATGTCTCTTTCCAAATATACGTCCTTTCGAGGTTCCTCTTGCAACAATATTCCAGGTGTGATTTTTCCATCGTCTCTTTATGACCATCGGTCCTTTATGTCTGTGTCCCTTACACTGTACTGTTCCCGCATGCCAGGTTATCTGTCTGCAGGCGGTGGCCAACTTCTTCCGGGACCCACCATTGCCCTTGTTCCATTTCTTCAGCTGTTGGCAGCACCCTACAGCTAGAAGCCAATCCCCACACTGCTCCTTCAGTGCTCCAAAAGTTTCCACTGTGGCCTTTTAACTAGGGACTTCCTGATGCTTCAACTCAAACTCTCATTTCTTCTGTGGCCTCCATCTTTTCTAGAAAGGTCTCCATTTTCTCTAGCTGGGAGTCCATCCTGGCTATCATCCTTTCATGATGAGCATCTAACTTGGGCATCATCTTCCCTTGGTTGGTCTGTATCATGGCTTCCAGTCTTCTTTCATTTCCTTTAGACTGGAACCCACCTTGGCTCGACTGCTTCTTATTTCAGCAGCAGGTATTCCATCATTTGCTACATTTCTGTAGTGTTGCAATATAGTTTCGTACTGCAGTTTATAATCCAACCACTTCTGATATCAGTTGTCACATGTCTGAGTGGATAGCAACAGGGTTTGGATTTGTGACTCAATTTATTGACCACTCATGCACACAACTCATAACTACAAGTAACCATAACAACCTCACTGGTTGACACATTCTAAAGATCACTGTAACTACAGTCTTCTATGTCTTCACTAGTCTGTTCCTGGTAAGAGATCCTAATAATGACTTCTGTTGACATCCTTACTGGCTGGCAAATATCCCACAACTGAACTACACTCTAAACTTGTACCACTGATATCCCCTCTGCATGGACTGCACAGAAAATACTGCTCATTGTTGTCAATCGTTTCAACGAGAACATGTTTATTTGCAAAGCCGTTACTCAGTAACAGCTGCTGTATATTTGCTTATTCCATGATCACTGCCCAGCAATGGGTCTATATGCTACCATATGTTTACATGCCTGCTACAGCACATAGCAACAATCATTTTAAGAAAAAAATTATTAATTCTTGAAAATGAGAATCGCAGAGATAAGGGGTCTCTTGATAGCTTGCTTCATGATCTGTAAACAGCTGCCAAATCCCTTACATTCTCCTAATGTATCATATTGTGGCATGCTGCCTAAAAGCCGGACTATACGACGTCCATCGCTGTGCAACAGCTGCAATGGGAATGCATACTTCAGCAGCAACAAATACATGCAAAGACAACTACTTAAGAAACTGCCTAAAAAACAGAGACAAAATTGTTGAGTTCCCACGTCAACAGATAGACCCACTAATGAATATTCTAGCTAACATGCTAAACAGAACCCTTCAACACGGTGTTCTCTCAGCGGTACACGAAGATCTACTTAAGAGGGTAGAAGATAAGAGACCAGAACAGTTCAGATCCAATGAGAGTTAAGAGAAGAACAAGGAGCAAAGACACTACACTGAGAATAGCAGTGCAAGAGTATAACCATCAAAGAGGAAACACAGATATGACAGACTAATAAGGTCCCTTCATCTGAGAAGATGTTATTTCAGAGTGATTGTAATTGTAAGTGTAAATAAGTAATTCTCCAATAAACTGCGTCATCTAAATCCGCAACCCATTATTTATCATGGAACCCCAGACATGTGACAATATTAACAAGTTTTACCATACGTGACACCATATGTCAGGCACTTAGTCACCAGCTTCTCATTGCAGATACCTAAGTTAAATTCCAGGGTAATCCACGTGGGATCTGTGGTATACAAAGTAGCTCTGGAGTGGGATTTCTCTAAGCACTTCTGCATTCCACTAATATACTGAAAGTCATGAGCAACAAATTTTTTGTAAAGTAACATGCTTTATTATTGACATACCAAATACAGCACCTCAATCTACAGACCTTTCTTTATTTTTCCACATAATCGCCACTTCTTTGTACACATTTCTCCCAGCGTTCTGGGAGTTTGAAAATTCCCCTTCTGTAAAATTCCGTTCCAGCCATCCAAAGACACTGACGCACTGCTTTCTGAATTGCCTCCCTTGTCTCAAAACGTCCACACAGCTGATCCTTCACAAATCCAAAAAGATGGTAGTTGGAGGGTGCCAGATCAGGGCTATAGGAGGGGTGTGGAAGAACTTCCCACCCCATCTTTGCAATTGCTTCCGATGTGAGGCGAGCAGCATGGGGGCGAGCGTTGTCATGCAGGATGATGATGTTTCATCCCGGACATTTATCGTGCAATGCACAATGGAGCTTGTGCAGCGTCTGGACATAACAAGCAGCATTGATGGTTTGCCCAGGTTCCAGGAATTCGGCCAGAATAAACCCCTCTGCATCCCAGAAGACTGTGCCCATTACCTTCGCAGCTGATGGCACTGTCTTTGCCTTCTTTTTTGATGGAGAATGCAAATGGTGCCATTCCATACTCTGCCGTTTCGTTTCAGGCTTGAAACGGTGAAACCAGCTTTCGTCACCTGTCACAATACAGAGCAAAAAATCATCACCTTCATGTCGATATCTCTGCAGCAGTTCTGAGGTGATGCCTTTTCGCTGACCTTTGTGGTCTTCGGTCAATAACTGCGGGACCCAACGATCACAAACTTTCCTATAGCCCAAGCTTTCAATCATCTCCTATACTGCACTGTGCCCTATTCCAAGTTTTCGGGCTATTGTGTCCACAGTCACCTGCCTGTCATTTTGAATGATCACATCCACTCTTTCCTTGTTGCGTTCAGTTGAGGCTGTTCGAGGACGACCGCTCCAAGGCTCATCTTCGATGCTGGTGTTCCCATCTTTAAAATGTTTCACCCATCTTCAAACACTGCTCGCACTCATGCACACACTTCTATAAGCACACTGAAGTCTCTGGTGAATTTCTGCAGCAGGGATTTCCTCTTTCACAAGAAATTCGACGACAGCATGCTGGCAAAACGACACATCGTTGTCAGCCATTTTGATAGGAGTGATGCTGGTCACATGATGCAAGCTATTGACGTCACAAGACACTCAAGGTTAACACAACAGCTGGTTCCACCTACCACCGTACTCTCTTTCATCTGTTGTTCCCAGGTTGCATGCAAAAAAAAGTTGCTCATGATTTTCAGTACAACCTACATATATTCCATATTTCTCTATCATCAGGGGCTAGTATGATAGGCCCATTTGAGGCCACAATACAAAGGAACTCAGACTCACCCCATGCCTACAGCTACTTAAGTGGGTATGGCCAGAGTTAAAATGAATTTAGATGCCCAATATCCATAATAGGCATCCAATGACAGCCATACAAGAATTACATGCTTTCATTAGCAATGCTGGTAATACTTAGCTTTGTTCCGTTATCCACCTTCCTTTAACATAAAATATTCATTGTACATATGATGTAAAATTAACCGGTACAGTCCACTGGCAGTAAAATCTGTTATGGTATAAAAATTCTTACCTTAATGTGAATATCAACTGGAACATCCCTAGGTGGATACAGAGCCACATCCAACCTTGATGTCACTTCTGAGTCTTTTGGATGCAGAACATGAGTTTCACCTTCAAAAATTCCTTCTGCAAACACCATCACTGCAGAAATGATGGTCTCATTGTTTGTAGATAATGAGATCTCAACATGTGGCTGTGAGAACATGAAAAATAAATTTACAAAATTATCCAAGTCAGCAATACCTGGGGTTTTCAATTGATTAAACACCCACATACACAGAGACATCAGTGATATAACAGTTTCTGCATGTTCATCTTCTTATAGAAAACGAACCAGAGAATTTTTTTAAAACTGTAAGTGTATTTGGCAATTGCTAATGTCATCAGGCAGAAACACATACCTTGTGGCAGAAGAGTATTTCTAATCACTGTCTCTTAATGATGTTCAAAGGTTAAACATTCTGAAATGCTTAGATTCTTGAAGCACAGAAACAGAGTGTAACCATGATAGAACAAGTATGGCTTATAACAACTTCATTATTGGTAGGCAAAATCATCACCACTGTTAGTTTCTCAATGTTACAAATATAGAAAAAAGAACAGCATAAAGAGGAGGTTTCTCAAACTTCTAACATAACCAATTACTTCTATGTACCTCAACATTTTTATATTACTCTTTGTACTGACTGTACTTGTGGTTTTGCTTCCAAAATCATTTAGAGCAGAAAATCTGCAAACATAACTTTAGCCCATCTTCTGTGCATCTGATTTTTTTAGAAAAAGAAAGCCCCCATGCCAAATCTGTAACCAGCTTACCCCTATAGATTTTGATCAATGAAAAGTGTCCATCATGTGACATATTTGAATTCCTCTTCATTACAGTAGCATGTTTCATTGTGTATTGTTACTTGGTTAATGAACTGGAGTTCAATTTTTCTGCATTTGTGTTTCTTGTTGAAAAGAAACGTGTTCATCCTTAATTATGGCAACAAACTGCAAGTGCTTAGAATTAAACACAAAGCTTAAAGTAATACATTTTTGTGGAATCGGTGGCACATCATAGACTGAAATGTGAAAATAGCAGGGACTGACTTATTTTTACAATCCTCACCATTCTGAAGAACAGCTAAAACAAAATCAGCTATCTGTTATGGAAGACCAGTGGCACAGAAGGAAATGTAAAATTCGGTGAATAAAAATTTTGATCTGTATTCTTCAAGCGAATAGCCAGGAAAGAATGCTTTGTGTTCTGGCTGAAGAGCCAATAATCAAGGCAAAAGCCAATCACTCTATGGAACACTTAAAGACTGAGAACTTTCAGTTTTCCAAAGGGTATCTTTACTATTTCAAAGTAGAAAATGGCATAAGCATGCTCAAAGTGTCACACAAACTTGCCACATTCAGACCTATCTTCAAAGGTAGTTTATGTAGGTAACAACTGACTCAGTTTCTTCTTTATGCATTATATTTCTTATGCCAGCTTAACATCAGTCAACTGATTTATTCTTTCACATTCATGCACATGCAGTGAATTACAGGCAGAATATGGGTGGGACTTGGCATGTAGCAAATTGTCTGTGGAATGTGGATGGGACTTGAAAGCTTGCACCACATGGTACCCAGGTGTTTCCCTTGTAAAGGACCATTTCTAAAAAGAGGTTGGATGCATGTACAGTAACTCCCATTCAATGTTCAATTTCAATAATCCCAATTCAATAACCTATGTGTTACATTTTCTCTATTTAAGATCTTTCTTAGTCTAGTGTTCAAATAAAATGCTTCCAAAGAAACCTTAAACAGGGTTTCACAGTACACAAAGTTACATAAGTATGAGAAAATCTTTAACTTCTTTGTTCACCTAACATAAACGATATCAAGAATTTTAAATTATTATTCTTTATTTTCACATCTCCAAGATAACGCCTCAAAAGAGAATATATACTACTGAACTTGCATTAATTTCTTCTGAACCATACTATTATGATATATGTAGGTGCTAGGTGATGGACTTTAATATTTCATGATTTTTTAATATTATGTTTTAGAATTCTTATATCAAGATTAAACTGTATTATAACAAATCATATCACTAAATATAATTACCAGTCTTCTTACTTAAGATAATATTCTGAGATAATAAACAAATACAAATCATACAAACAATACATACAGGTTTCTGTTCAGTACCCATGTTGATAGCAACTCCAGTTTGTAATCTTGTTTGGGCCTGGAAAATATTCAAGACAAGTGTACACATTACTGCACAAGTGAATTCATACAAGGGACTGAAATCAAGAAAGTCAGCAACTGAAATGTATGAAGAAATAATCTATGCCTGTTTAGTGCAAGAAAACTTACAGGTATGATTCCAACATGCTGATTAGCCACTGCAAGCTGCTGTCCCATGTCTCCAGCACAAATTTCAGAAAACTGACTGTTGCCTTCATAATTGCGCAATTCAAGCAGTAGAGCTTGCTTTTTTGTGAATAAGTCTCGAATAACTTCTGTCTCCACATTCGCAGTACCCCCAGACATATGGGACTGCACATTTACCTGGCGCAGGAGGTTGTAGCCACGCACTGTAAGCAGAGATTTACTATAAAGTGTGCATGTTTTATTTTGGTTTGCCTACATGTAAAGAATTTCTGTTCTAGAGCATTCAGTATTCATCCTCTTTTTCCCTCTTTATTTTTCTTTTCTCCGAAAGAATCCCAGATGACACAAATTATCAGTCTTAGTTCTGCAAATTTTATTATAAAAACTATATTCATTCATTCATTTATTTATAGTTCCAAAAAATCCATAGAGGCATCTGCCTCAGATATAGAACAAGTCAACAATACAATATAACACATAAATATACATACATAACCAGATAGTCATCATTGTCAAAATTTAAATACTCAATACAACAAAACATNTAAGAACAATGATGAATAAATAATTTTCGAGCAAAATTTAAATGGCCGGCTGAATATATTACCGCAGGAGCCGCGGCCGCGGAATTTAAATGACCACGTCAAAGGGTTAATATAGTAATTTAAAATCTATTTTCTTCATATATATGATAAACCTATATCACAGCAGTGATAGCACCTTTTTCCTGAGTATTTTATTCCATATTCCGTTGCATCCTAGCAATAGGCAACAGTGTTTATTTAAATATACATGAACGATCAATCTTTATTCCAGCAGTAGTATTCTTCAACAGTATAAAAAGAACTGGTGATAAGAAACTTCTTTAACGCCACTTTAAATCCAGGAATGTCATAAGATAATTGTTTAAGCTCTGGAGGGAGGTGGTTATAAAGTTACATACCAGAATACCATCCACCTCTCTGAAATATCGTTAAGTTTACCACCGGAAGATGCAAGTCATGATTAAATCTGGTATTACGTGTGTGGACATCAGAGTTTGTTATATAGCAATCTCTATTCTTGACAACCAGCATAAGTAGAGAAAATATATATTGCGACTGAAGTGGCAGTATATGTAACTCCTTAAATAAATTATGGCACGAATCCCCATTACGAGAATTGGTAATAATTCTTATTATTCTTTTCTGTATTTGAAATATGATTTTTGCATGAGCCGAACTCCCCCAAAATATTATGCCGTAAGATATTATTGAATGAACTAGGGAGAAATAAACAGTTATATATCAGTTAATAAGACTGAATTCATATTATATTTTCTCACGTACATCAACAAAGCTTGGTTCATTTAATGATCATTTTCAGTTGCATAGGTTATGTGATAAAATGTTGTCAGAATGGAACATTAAAATCAATTAAAGTCAATACAGATTGATCATCTTGCTGCCCCCTTTTCAGTTTCTCTGCTTCCCTTCCTTTTACTCCTCCTTTTTTTTTTGTCCCTTGCTTCATCACAGTATCTTCATTTAAATATTTTTCTTTCACCCCATTCCCCCCCTTTTCCTCCTAACAATATTTCTTCCACCGCCTTCCTTCTTCTCTTTTTCTTCCCCACTTAACAGAAATGTTGACCCTTGAATTTCATATCATCATCAGTTTCATCTCTTGTCATTATCTATTCTGCGCTAATTATGTGTGTATTTATTAGGCATCAGTAAGAATGACATTTTCCATTTTGAGATGAGAAAAGCAGGAAAGTTGGTACTGAAACACACTAATCCAGAGAGAGGACCAAGAGAAGTAAACTTAACTTAGAGATGAGAGAAGCAGATAAGACAGTACTGAAACACACCAATCCAGAGGGAGGACCATGATGAGCAAACTTATGACTCTGCCCATTAGCACCCCATTGATTTCTTCTCAGATGCAATCATGGGTCATGGGCTGGTATATAGATGGGATGCTTTTGATCTTAAGATGCCTCAGATCCTAATGATGGGGACAGACACAGTCCCTGAAATTTCAGTAATTTTTAACCAACTAACATGGCTGATAGCCTGAGATTTTAATAACTTCTGTTGCCATAAAAGTTTCACTGTTAAATCATACAGAATAAGCTGCCCTAAAACTACCTCAATGATCGTGAGAGTGAACAAATTCAAATCTGAACAGAGATCTCTAACTTCTACTTCATCTTGGCATGTTTAGCAAAACAATGTTGTGCTTAATCATATGAGAAGCCATCTCTTCCATGATATCTTATTAATGTTCAAGTATTTACCTTCTCCTTCTACAGAGCAGCAGATGAGGTCACTTTTGCCTGACAATCTGTAATCCCCCTCTACAATGCCAGCTATTGAATGGTTCAGGTTGTCCTTAAAGATGACCTCTCCAGTACGACTATTACGGGCATCAATCTTGCCATTTGACCAGCCAGTAATGAGTTCTTCCACACCATCACCATTCAGGTCATAACCATAAATAGCCACTGCACGGTTCTTTGACTGTGTGAACAATTCCAATCATTTACACACCAACATACACACAATCATATAATCATTCAACATTCAATGCGACCCATGAACAAATAATCAGTGCACATCGCTGTCCAAAAAGTATCTGACTTTATTTTCTGCCACTGTAAGTAATGGCCAAAGGGGTGGGGAAACTGAGTGTAGTGGTAGAAGGGACTTTCATGTGCATGTGTGATTTTTTGCTGACTCGCAACACCACCGGATGCATCTGTGGCTGCCAGATAGCGAAGTGGTGTAACATGTGTTCCATCACATTCTCGTTTCACTCAAGATGACAGAACGCTTGGAGCAGCGATACTGTATCAAGTTTTGTCAGAAACTTCGGGATACCCAAATGGAAACAATCCACAAAATTCAGCAGGCTTTCAGCGATGATGCAATGGAGGTCACTGAAATTAAAGAGTGGTTCAACCGCTTTAAAGTTGGCCATATGTTGGCGGACAGTGACCAGAGTACCGGGAGACCGTCAACAAGCCAAAATGCTGATCTCATTGAAAAAGTGCAGACATTGATCATGGAGGACCATTGTTTGACCATCCAGGAAGTTGCTGATGAGGTTGGGATCAGCAGAGATTCTGTAAACACAATTTTAACTGAGGATTTGGGCATGTGAAGAGTAATGGAAAAATTTGTGCCCAAGCTGCTTTCAGCGGAGCAGCAACAACTCCACCTTGAGGTCGCGCGGGACATGCTGGAGTGTGCCAACAGGGGTCCTGAGTTCCTGAAGACTGTGATCACTGGTGATGAGTTGTGGGAGTATGGATATGGCCTGGAAACCAAGGTCCAGGGGTCACAATGGAAGCATCCAAAATAAGGCAAGATAGGGACCAGTGGAGGGCTCTTTTGAACATGGTAAAGAATCTTTAAATTCCATAAAATGCTGTAAAGTTCTTGAATTGCTGTACAACTGGCAGCCTCTTAAGAAGGGCTCATCTCCATGAAGTTAGTTATTTAGCACCGTAATTCAGTAATATGTGCATAAATCTTACCAAGTCAGTCAGCTCCATAAATCTCCAAGCATATTTAGTACTTTACTTGTGTAATTTTTTCATCTGTCAAAAATAAAACTGGTGTCAACCAGTGTCACTAAGTCACCATTCTTGTCCCTTTAGAAACTATCTTTAGCTGGTATCCCTGTTTCAGTTCATTTATTCCTCTGTAACAGATCCCCAATATTCTTGTTTCGATCTCATCTACTATGCAGACACGTTTTATAAGTAGTATATAGTTTATGTTATATGATACATACTTTAACTCTCCACAGTCTCTGTAATTTCTCATAAACCCCAACAGTTCCATTAGCAAGTCCATAACCAAACTTGTTGCTTTGGAATGCTGCAAGAGCTGTAACTGCTTCTGTTTCTGTTTGTTCATTGATAATATTGTCCTCTTTAAATACTCGGATGTCGAAGTCTTCAGAACCAACAATCAACTACAACAAAACAATGGAACAATGTATTTAAAGAAATTACACATTCTTGTTCCCCCATACGCATTCATGGCGTAGCGCTTAATTGGTTAAGCACAAGGACAACTTTACCCTTACTTTACCCATTCTTGTAAATACATACAATTAATAATAATTAAGTAAATACATGTTCACAACATATATTAAATTAAGAAAATAAAGACAGAGAAAATCTGAGAAAACGTTTATAGCTAGAACTTTATTTGAAGACACCAGTAATCTTATAATTACTGTCTCCCTGTCCATTATTCAACTGTAATGAATGACACTTGTTCACATAACGGAGACCATAACATGTATTCATCAAATATATTTTAGTATTTAATGAATTAAATTCCAAATCAACAAAGTCTTATATATTCCATACGTAAAAATTATATAATTCATGAGTATCTTTCATGCTTCTTCACCTTAGCAATTATAAATAAAACAGAAATGAACTGAGAGACACCTGGCCACCCTAACTATTCACACCCTGTCTCTCTTCATATCTTCCCTACTCATGCATCTGACATTCATATCCTAACCCTCATGACACTTCTGCAATTCCTTCCATCTTCCCACGTCCACCTCCTCTTGTGTTTGGCTATCTCTAGAGACCTCTCATTTCCTTCATGTCAGATTTGCACCACAACAAAAGAATGAACAGTGTCAGTGAATACACTACAGCATATGATTTATAATATACTACAATAAAAAGTAAAGAAATAATTTCTGTACCTCATTTTCTCCATCATGATCAAAATCCAGAAGAGCCAGTGAGCAGACATTGTCCCCTGTCACAGTCCAGAATGGATCATTTCCTTCATAATCAAATCCTTGCAAAGAACAATTACCTCCAACAATGGCAAGAGGGTTTGGGAAACTGCCGAGCTTCCCAATAATAACCACACTTGAACCATCTGATACCTATATCATAACAACATAATTTGAACTGAGTATCATCTTTTGACAGATGTGAGTAATGTGGCTGTAACACCTAGAGAAAGATCATAACAGTATAGCTTTGTCACATGTGCCTTATGTAAAGAATGTTTTCTTTTACAGAATAAAACAGAAAACCTACTGGATAATATCAAAGAATAATCAAATGGAAGAAAATCAGCCTTACACCATGCAACAAGGGGGTCAATGAAAACAAAAGACTGAATGACACAGTATCACATAATGAGAGTCTCTAATACAAGGTGTGATAACTGAATAAAAATCTCAGTATCATGTGGTACTGAGAAAAATACAAATGATTCAAATACATCTTAAATATTTGTGACATAAAATGAAAATGTAATGGTTTGCTTCATTCTTTTACTAGTCACCAATGACAGGCATTTAAGCATGCCACAAATGCCTGCAGTGTCCTGAATTGCACAACCATTTTGATTTTCTGTGTATCCACCTGCATGTCTATCTGAAGACACTCTGCTTGTCATGTACGCATTCTGACTGAGCAACCAGAACTACAACAATGCAAAAAAGGTAAAGCTATTCCTGTAACAGGCTATGGACACCCACAGGGTTGTAAGACATTGAGGCTCCCACATTTTCCAGACAATCTGCTCACAGATGGCAGTGAGGCTGTCAGCCTTACACATCGGCTGCCCCTTACACCCAGGAAGATTCCTGCTCATTTCTGTTACAAACTGAGTTGACCCCAGGCCCATAGTGTGACTGAAAAATCCAATGACCTCATCAGGTATCAAACCCATGACCTTCTGTCTTGTGGAATAGTGCCTCAGCCAACATTTCTATATTTTGGCATGTAAACCCACTGCTAGGCAGCAACTGCAAGAGAGAAGACTGTACAGCAGCCAATGCTACACCCCAACCCACAAACAACAACAGAGGAATGGTGTCTTCTGTGTGGTCTGATAAGAAATAACTAAACAGCAACAGAGGAATGGTATTTCCTGTGCAATCCATGCCAAGACGATATAAGCAGGACAATTAGTGACAGTTAGTGGAGTGGAGTGAGTTAGTTAGAAGACTGCTGAGGTTCAGTCCTTGTGTGCATTTATTGTTAGAACCTGGTAGCTGAGGCACGGGGACAATTCGGGGACCCAGAGGAAGGGCAATGTCCATTGTTGGAAGGTATTACCAGAAATCGGGTGAAGACATAACAGGCTCAGAAGACTTACGTGTGCTGTAACGAATTGCAGAATGTGAATCAGCAATAGCACTAAAGTCACTTGTAGTTATGAGTTGTGTGTGTAAGTGTTCAATAAGAATTATGAGACGCTATTGGAAAGTTCCCAGACTGGATCAAAAAAGAAATTCTGGCTTAACTTACTCAATTCTGGCTGCCACCTCCTTCAGAATGTATACAGCGATCCCAATTTTTTTCCACACTTCAAAAGCACTGTGGAATTAATTTTCCTTAATGCTGTCCAGTACTACCTGTGATTCCCTTTGGATGTCAGATACTGTTTCAAAATGTCATCCCTTCTGTTTCATTTTCAATTTGGGAAACAAAGCAAAATCAAAGGGGGCTAAGTCCAATGAGTAGGGAAGATTGGGAATTATAACCATGTTGCTGTTAGTCACAAACTCTGTTGTTTTTAGAGATGTGTGGCCAGGCGTGTTGTCATGATGAAGGAGCCAGTTGTGGTTGAGCCGAAGAGCTAGTCTTTTTCGTAGCACATTATCTCTCAAGCATCTCAAAACATTGACCATAGTGTTAGGAAGAACAAATTCACGGTGAACAATCCCATTCACTTAAAAAAAAAAATGATGAGCATTGTTTTTGTTGAACTCTGGACCTGCTGCGCCTTTTTTGCTTTTAGTGTTTGTGGGCTCTTCAACTAAAATGATTGTTGCTTTGTTTTTGGATCATAACCATAAATTCAACTTTTGTAACACATTATAATCCTACAGATAAAAGTTGGGTCCTCATTAGCCTTCTCTCATAGCTCAAGACACACGTTTACACGCCGCTGTTTTTTATCACTTTTCAAAAGTCAGAGAACAAACTTCCCGGCAATGTGGCGCATGTTCAAATTTTCTGTTGAGATCTCCTGGCAAACTCCATAACTGATCCCAACAGTGTCTGTGAGCTCATGGATTGTTTTGTGACAGTCTTCATGGAAGAGTTCTCAAATTTTTTCAATATTTTCTGTCATTTTACTGGTGCTTGGTTGCCCTGAATGTTCGTCTTCAACTGACACTCAACTGGCCCTGAAACGTGAATGTCATTCAAAATCCGCTGTCCAGCTTAAAGAATGTTCTCCCAAATGCCTAATGAAGCATTTCAAGGGTTCCGGGAGCAGATTTACCAAGCTTCACAAAACTTTACACAGACGCTTTGCTCAATTTTGCCATCCATCACAGACCAAACAAAATATGAAGTCAAATAAGCACTCGTAAAAATAATGTGTTCACAGCATGGTGTCACATGGGCGACTGATGCAACAGGCTTGCAGAAGTGTGACCTTGGCCTCTCCTATCATCTTCTTTCACTGAGGGAGTTACAACAATAACAGTCCAGGAACTTTCTGACAGAACCTCATACCAATCCGAACCCCGTCTATAGTTACATTCAAATATGTGAAAATATAAAAGTAACTAACTATGTGCTTTCAAAGCATGTGAATTGCCTGTATTAGATTTAGACAAACTTGATTCAAAACAGATGCATGTCATATGTAATTTCCTAGAATTGTATCAGACTGTTACTGGCAATTATCATCAAGAGTAATAATCTTATATTCCTATCAACCTCCAAACTACTGCCCTCCATGTTACTCCTCCTAAATTCCAAACATACAGCCTAAAAATATAACCCACTGAAGGAGTTAGACATCTGAAGCAGGTATTGACATCTCAGAGAAATGTGACACCAGCAGTCCTCCACTAAATCATACATCCTGCAGCATGCACACCATTGTAAGTCATTCACATTATGCGACTGAGAAACAGCTGTGCACAAAGGAAAAAAAATACCCTGTGAATAAGACACACTAATTAAAATTTACAGGTTTGATGTCCAAGGTGATACGCTCCTTCCAATCCACACCACTAGCCTCAACTGAACACACAATAGGTAAAAGCAGTCACCAGCAGAGCAGATTCTCAAGCAGACATAAAATTCATTGGAACCTCAATGACAAAAATGTGTTCACTTAAGCAATAAATGTAATGCAACCTGCCTCTTTATAGAAAATATCAGTGTTATTTTCAACATCATATGCAAGCAAGTTGGTAGGGGTTCCAACTACAAGTGTGTCCCGTTCTTCTGTTACATCCAGATTACCAGCACATATAGACAACACTGATTGGTTGATGTTCAACAGAGCGAGTTCTTTATTTGCATCACTTGGTACCACTCGTCCTGAGGCAAGCCCCACACGTCTGTGTGGACTGTGCACCAGCACCTGCACAGTCAGAAGAAAACTAAATGTAAAAAAGTGACATGCCATTATAATCTAATGCAACTAACCAGGCAATGCAACATGCAGCACCACCTTGACAGAAATGAAGTAAGTTAAATATTATTCCTGTCTATCATTGTCACTATTAACAGGTGACAAGCAAGCTGATGTTTATGTGTAAATTCTTTCAGTTCGACCATAAATTTCATTACAGGTTACACCATGAAAAGACAGAAAATGAAAATCAATCAGAGTTTCTAAACACAAGGCCAGAGGAACGGACACAGGGCAAGGATAGGTGCCATAAGAAATTGGCTGTTGCCCACAGGGAGACTGGCCGTCACCCGAAGACGGACGCCCAGCCATGCAAAAGTGGCACAGCAGGAGGAAAACTTTGATGGGAGAAACCACCTCAGGGCCATGGCTGAGCGAGCAACCTGGAGAGTAGGGCTGCTCTGGAAGAAGTTACGGACACACCATGAAGGAGAAAGAGAAACAAAGGATCTGGGCAGCAAGTGGCCACAACATGTGAGAAAGAAGAGGGCAAGCATGACTGACATAGAAGGGTGGAGCTTGGGACAGCTATCACCTTTGAGGAAGAAGAGGACAACCACAAACGGCATCTGGAAGTGGAGCCCAGGAGAGCGAACACTTCTGGGAAGTGGAGGAACAATCAAGAAAATCTTATATGAGATCTCTGGTTTGAAAATCACGAAACAAATACCCAAGGCTTCCAGCAGGACACGGAGAACCATGGAATGGACCTTGTGGAGGAGTCGGCCTCTTCCAAAATGGAAAAAGAGACTGCATACAGAGTAGGAGCAGCAGCCTCCCTAGCCAGAGTGAGATAGAAAGATAGAGAGAACAGAAAAACCTCTGGACGATGATGAGAACCTGAAGTGACTGAAAGTTTACCATGGAGCTGCTCTGGAGGAGCACCCTTGAGGGATTGGGCGGATGTAGCGCTCGGAAGATGTACAGAACATCAGGCAAGACGTTGCAAGCAGAAACCCTCGGAAATGAAAGAAAGGGAAATACCGTTAGGCTGTTCAGGATGAACAACCTTAAGGAAGGAGCAATGTGACGTGCTGCCTGAAAGCCGGACTACAAGACATCCATCACTACACAATGGACAATGAGAAATCATGCTACTTAGGAAACCCCTTGAAGAACACGAGAACCTAACACTGGATTTTCACCATTACAAAGAAGCTAGCAATACCTAAGCAACGAACTGTTTGAGGCACTAAAAATGTATTCCCACGGCAACAGAAGATTCGACAATGTGTTCCCTATTCAGTCCGGGTGCAGGATATAACAATCTAACTGCGGCAAGAGACCAGTTAGTTCATATCTGACAAAGAGACCAGTAGAGTTCATATCCAACTAGAGCAGAAGCACGTTCGTATCTGACAAGAGACCAGTCAGTTTAGCTTCGACAAGAGTTAAGGACAGTGGAGCTCCGAGCAGAGCAGAAGCCACTTCACCAAGATCAGCAGTGTGAGAGTGTATAACATTGAAGAGGAAATGTCCGAAGACATTATAAGTAAGAATAATTGCATTTGTGAGTGTAGAAATTCAGTGTCCAATAAACATATTCATCCAAATCCAAGACCCACATAATTTCTTGTCGTGTTGCCTAGGAAACAGGTGATAATATTAACGCCTTGAATAGCTGATCACAAACTACAAATACTTAAAGTCACAAAAGAACTAAACATAGTCTTGTACCTTATCTGCTGCTGTAGCTGCAGTGAAACAGGAATGAGTGCCATCATACTTGCCAATGGTGACTCGTCCAGGCAATAACTTGTGATTCAGACTGAATGTAAAAATAGGAACAGCCATCATGTGCCCCTGAATATGTAAAGTTAATTCAGTAATGTCACAGTTATTTTAGTGAACTTAGTACAATATCAATAAAATATTAGCATTTAACTTTTATTTTACGTCTGACCAAAGCAAATACCAAACTCTACTTGGCCAACTAAATCAACCCACATTCCATGTCAATGACTGCAATGCTTGAATGGTTTAATTAACATATATCAGGCACTAAAATCTCTGCGGGGCATCATTGGAAAGTTGCTATGAGGTTTACAAAACACCCGCTAGATAAATCACCAGAAGGCAACACTTGTTGGACTGTGCCACAGTTCAGGCAGTTCATCACCAGTTTCCTACTATGCCAGCCCTGGTTCAATACCAGATTGTCAAGTGGGATTTGTGGTGGATAAAGTGACACTGGGGCAGTTTTTTCCTAAGTACTTCAGTTGTCCCTGTCAACTATCATTTCACCAACTGCTCCATATTAATTAATTCATTATCACTAACATTATATACCCTCAAAGTTGACAGTGTCATTAAATAACAAGTTTTGCTGTTCTTAATTAATTAATTAATCACTACACTTAAAAGACATATCAAGGTACAGGTCCAAGTATTCTTAACTTCAGAACTAGATGGAGGTTAGTGGTCAGCTTCATATCCCAGCCACTTTACCCTCCGGGATGGAGTCCCCAGCATCCACTGGATAGGAGGCTGAGTGGGCCCCAGTGCCAGTCTGGACACTGTTGGGGGGGGAGGGGGGCAGGGAAATCTGTTACAAACATTAACTGTTTAATTGTGGAAATGGGAAAGTGATGAATTTCTAAGAGCTATGAACCAAACTCCTTTAATATTATTTATGTGGCTACTGATTTGATTTTCCATAAAAAAATTCCTTGGCCCTTACATATAAATTTCAAACTATCATAGAAATTCTGGGATATCCACCACCTAGCTTATATGAATGTGGCCATTCTCATCTCGCATTGTGAAACATTATAAAGCTAACTGTTGCAAGGTGCTCATTCTAATGCATTCAGATTACTTTACTGAAAAAGAAAAGATTACATTTCAATGCCATCTTCAAAGTGACAGGTCCAGAACCTAGTCAGTGTTAAAAAAATGATATATGTATGTATATGTATATATATCTATCTATATATATATATATATATATATACGATGGGGCACCCAAAAGAAACCGAACTAANNNNTCTTCTGGAGGAGTCAGACTCCAGATATGGGGAGTAGCTGAGAGTATACTGAATTTGCAGTTGTGGCCTGTCGACATGGGGTGATTCTCCAGATTGGGGGTTGGGTGTCAGGCTAATAACTCCTTACCACAAAAGAGAAAACATTTTACAAAATGTTACAAGGGCCTCACTTTGATGGATTCTTTGGAACAACTTACAAAGGCAAATGGGCATTAGATCTATAACGTGGACTGTGAGGAATCTACAGGGTAGGTTCACTGTCAGTTGCAAGAGAAATAGCAAAGTACAACTTACATTTAATGGGAGTAAAGATAGTCAGATTGTACCTGTATGTGATTATACATTTATACACAGAAATGGGAATGAGAATCATGAATTAGGGACAGAACATTTCTTATACAAGGGAATCATATCAGCACTTGAGAGTCTGTAGTATGTTAGTGATAGGATGTCATATATAACACTACAAGGTCGCTGGTGATGGTATTGTTTTGAACGTTCATGCCCCAACAGAGATGCTGTCTAAGAATGTAAAGACTGAAAAATATAACACCATAATTTTGTCTGTAGTTTTGCATGGGTGTGAAACTTGGTCTCTGACACTATGGGAAGAATGTAGAGTGTGTTAGAGAAAGCGGTGCTGACTTTGTTTATGGTAAAAAATAACGTGTGGGTGAAACCTCTGTTATCAAATACAATTGTAACGTCATACATACGTGTATACACAAGTATAACCTCTCAGGCTCATGACCTCAGTTTCTTCATTCTAATGTTCGAAATAGCCGTCCGTCACTGTAACATATTAAGAATTACTACACAAACAGTTTGTACCCTGAGTTTTATACAATTTGTTGTGTTACACAGCACCATGACCACTTTACATGTCATACCTGAAATGTTACTGAAGAAGGTTAATCACGCGTACACAGCCAGTATCACTAAGAGCACTAATAACGCTAATAACTGTGCATAATTCAACTCCACCGCAATGATTTGAAAACAAATATGCGTACATGGTCACCAACACAATCAGCTTCCCCAAACCGTCCCTAAAAATGTACTCACGCACTCAAGTTTTCCCCAAGCTTGAAATGTGTTCCTTTTGCTGGATTTGATTACTACAGTTTTGGAACTGTAAATGATGGAAGTTCTTAAATAATTATTTACGTACCTCAGAATCCTCACCCCGTTCATTCTTCAAGCAGAAACATAGGAATTCTGCTAAAATTAATTTCAGGGACCTTTTGAGAAGCTTGCAGGCCCTGTGTACTATGGTTTGTATGATAGGTTTGTTGATAACCTCTTTTACTGACAATCAGAACATAACTATTTGTTGTATCACATATACATATACATTTGCGTTTCAGAACATAACTATTTGTTGTATGTAGCACGAATTATCAGCACCACGAAAGCATGAGTTAACTCTGTAGTAAATGGTAGTAAATACATAACAGTTGAAATAATATGGGCAGGGTGCGTTCAGTTGTGTCCTGTCATAATCGACTATCTTTTGACTACGACGTTCTTGTGAAATAAGTTAAAATTCTGTCTTTTTCTGATATACATCAAGTTCCAGAAACTGATATTTTATTTGGTCCCAGCGCTACCAGATTTTTTGAGTCTCAG